CAGGGGTAAATGTAAATGGGAGCCTTTAATTGAGCTATTGTAGAAAGAAATTTGGTAATAAGTAATACATATTTTATGAAAAAGAGGATAAATAAATATACAAGGTAGATGTAGCACGTAATGAAAGTAGTTTATTAGATTATGTATTGTGGATAAAGGTTGATGGGTAGGCTCCAGGATGTACATGTTTATAGAGGGCAACTGATATATCGGATCATTATTTAGTTGTAGCTACAGTTAAGTAAGAGGTAGATGGAAAAGAGGAAGGTGGCAACAACAAGTAAGAGGGAGGTGAAAGTGTATAACTAAGGGAGGAGGAAGTTCGGGTGAAAATATAAGCGACTATTGGCAGAAAGGTGGGCTAGTGCAAAGATGAGTAGTGGGGGGGTTGAAGAGGGTTGGAATAGTTTTAAAAATGCAGTATTAGAATGTGGGCAGAAGTTTGTGGTTATAGGAGGGTGGGGCAGGAGGAAAGAGGAGTGATTGGTGGAATGATGAAGTAAAGGGTGTGATAAAAGAGAAAAAGGTAGCTTATGAGAGTTTTTACAAAGCAGAAGTGTTATAAGAAGAGCAGAGTATATGGAGAGTAAAAAAAGGTAAAGAAGTGGTGAGAGAGTGCAAAGGGAGCAGATGATAGAGTGGGAGAGGCACTGTCAAGAAATTTTAATGAAAATAAGAAAAAATTTTGGAGCGAGTTTTAAACAAGTTAAGAAAGCCTAGGGAAAATATGGATTTGTCAGTTAAAAACAGAGTAGGGAGTTAGTAGATGGGGAGATGGAGGTATTGGGTAGATGGCGAGAATATTTTGAGGAACTTTTAAATGTTAAGGAAGAAACAGAGGCAGTAATTTCATGCACTGGTCAGGGAGGTATACCATCTTTTAGGAGTGAAGAAGAGCAGAATGTAAGTGTGGGGAGGTACGTGAGGCATTACGTAAAATGAAAGGGGGTAAAGCAGCTGGAACTGATGGGATCATGACAGAAATGTTAAAAGCAGGGGGGGATATAGTGTTGGAGTGGTTGGTACTTTTGTTTAATAAATGTATGAAAGAGGGGAAGGTACCTAGGGATTGGCAGAGAGCATGTATAGTCCCTTTATATAAAGGGAAAGGGGGCAAAAGAGACTGTAAAAATTACAGAGGAATAAGCTTACTGAGTATACCAGGAAAAGTGTACGGTAGGGTTTTTAATTGAAAGAATTAGAGGTAAGACAGAATGTAGGATTGCGGATGAGCAAGGAGGGTTTTTGAGTGGGTAGGGGATGTGTAGATCAGGTGTTTACATTGAAGCATATATGTGAACAGTATTTAGATAAAGATAGGGAGGTTTTTATTGCATTTATGGATTTAGAAAAGGCATATGATAGAGTGGATAGAGGAGCAATGTGGCAGATGTTGCAAGTATATGGAATAGGTGGTAAGTTATTAAATGCTGAAAAGAGTTTTTATGAGGATAGTGAGGCTCAGGTTAGGGTGTGTAGAAGAGAGGGAGACTACTTCCCGGTAAAAGTAGGTCTTAGACAGGGATGTGTAATGTCACCATGGTTGTTTAATATATTTATAGATGGGGTTGTAAAGGAAGTAAATGCTAGGGTGTTTGGGAGAGGGGTGGGATTAAATTATGGGGAATCAAATTCAAAATGGAATTGACACAGTTACTTTTTGCTGATGATACTGTGCTTATGGGAGATTCTAAAAAAAAATTTGGGCAAAGGTTAGTGGATGAGTTTGGGAATGTGTGTAAAGGTAGAAAGTTGAAAGTGAACATAGAAAAGAGTAAGGTGATGAGGGTGTCAAATGATTTAGATAAAGAAAAATTTGGGATATCAAATTGGGAGGAGGAGTAGGGAAGAAGTGAATGTTTTCAGATACTTGGGAGTTGACGTGTCGGGGGATGGATTATGAAGGATGGGGTTAATCATAGAATTGATGAGGGAAAAAGTTGAGTGGTGCGTTGAGGTATATTTTGGAGTCAAAAAACGTTATCTATGGAGGCAAAGAAGGGAATGTATGAAAGTATAGTAGTACCAAAAACTCTTATATGGGTGTGAAGCTTGGGTGGTAAATGCAGCAGCAAGGAGACGGTTGGAGGCAGCGGAGATGTCCTGTCTAAGGGCAATGTTGTGGTGTAAATATTATGCAAAAAATTCGGAGTGTGGAAATTAGGAGAAGGTGTGGAGTTAATAAAAGTATTAGTCAGAGGCAGAAGAGGGGTTGTTTGAGGGGGTTTTTGGGCATTTAGAGAGAATGGATCACAGTAGAATGACATGGAAAGCATATAAAATCATAGGGGGAAAGGGAAGGCGGGTAGGGGTCGTCCTCGAAAGGGTTGGAGAGAGGGGGTAAGGAGGTTTTGTGGGTAAGGGGCTTGGATTTCCAGCAAGCGTGCGTGAGCGTGTTAGATAGGAGTGAATGGAGACGAAGGGACTTGGGACCTGACGATCTTTGGAGTGTGAGCAGGGTAATATTTAGTGAAGGGATTCAGGGAAACCGGTTATTTTCATATAGTCGGACTTGAGTCCTGGAAATGGGAAGTACAATGCCTGCACATTAAGGGGGTTTGGGATATTGGCAGTTTGGAGGGATAGGGTTGTGTATCTTTATATGTGTATGCTTCTAGACTGTTGTATTCTGAGCACCTCTGCAAAAACAGTGATAATGTGCGAGTGTGGTGAAAGTGTTGAATGATGATGAAAGTATTTTCTTTTTGGGGATTTTCTTTCTTTTTGGGTCACCCTGCCTCGGTGGGAGCCCGGCCGACTTGTTGAAAAAAAAAAAAAAAAAAAAAAAAAATTAATAATTTTTTCAAAAAAAGACCCAAAAACCTCTATAACAAGCACTGCCCTAAAAAAATTAAACAGATGACAGCTAAGAAAACTGAACAGTCCCTGGCTAACACCCAGCATTCTCAAATCCATAAATACAAAACACCAATATGAAAAACAGTACAGAATGGGTCACATAACCAGAGACCAAACAAAACGTTACTCGTCAATCCTAACCAGCCTGATAAGAAGGGAAAAAAAAATTGTATTATGAGAACAGATTATCCAACTTATGAGGTGTTTATAAAAAAGACCTGGAAAACCCTATCAGAAATTCTGGGAACAAAAAAGATATCACGAAATAGCGAAATAAAATTAGCAAAATCAGACGAACCCCAACTCCCACCAACAGAAACAGCAAACAGACTCAATGATTTCTTCTCCACTATAGGACAAAACCTTGCCAAAAAATCCCAAACTCAGATACCCCACCAAATGACTACCTCACCGGCAACTACCCGAACACACTGTTCCTAGCTCCGACTAACCCATACGAAGTCTCCCTTTTTATCAACGCACTAAAAAACAAGGCAGGAGATTTAAATACCTTACCACCCTTATATATAAAAAACTGTCACAAGTGCTATCACCAATCATTGCAACACTCTTTAACAAAACCATAGAAACCTCCACCTTCCCACAGTACCAAAATAGCAAGGGTCACCCCGATCCACAAAGGAGGAGACCAAACAGAGTTGAATAACTATAGGCCAATATCCAACTTACACCCTCTCTCAAAAATCTTCGAAAAATTAATTCATAAACGAATCTACTCCTACCTTATCTCCCAAAACATACTCAACCCCTGCCAATTTGGATTCAGGCCTAATAAAAATACTAATGATGCTATTATACACATGCTAGAACATATATACACTGCAATAGAGAAAAAAGAAGTCCCACTGGGGATCTTCATTGACTTACGTAAAGCTTTTGATACAGTTGACCATGACTTGCTCCACGTAAAATTGTCACACTATGGTATAAGAGGGCACTCCTTCAACTACCTCAAGTCATACCTCAGCAACAGAAGCCAATATTGTACGCAAAATGGGGCAAACTCTTCTGCGCAACCAATTACAGTTGGTGTCCCACAGGGACGTGTCCTTGGCCCTCTTCTCTTTCTCCTATACATAAATGACCTTCCAAATGCTTCGCAATTACTCAAACCCACACTATTTGCAGATGACACTACATACGTCTTCTCTCACCCGAGCCCAGTCACGCTAGCCAATACTGTAAATACTGAATTACAGAAAAATCTACCTGGATGAGGACTAACAAACTTACACTAAACATTGACAAAACCTACTTCATTCAGTTTGGTAACAGAGCTACAGATGTCCCTCTTAACATAATGGTAAATGGATCACCTATCACAAAGCTAACAGAGGGAAAAAATTCTTAGGAATCCACCTTGATAATAGACTCAAATTTCATACACATATACAACAAATTTCTAAGAAAATTTCCAAGACTGTAGGCATACTATCGAAGATACGGTACTATGTTCCACAGTCAGCCCTCCTGGCCCTATATCACTCTCTTATTTACCCCTATCTCACCTATGGAATTTGTGCATGGGGCTCAACAACAATTAACCATCTCAGACCACTAATTACCCAACAAAAGGCTGCAGTTAGAATGATAACAAATTCTCACTACAGGCAGCACACTCCACCAATATTCAATACACTAAACCTACTCACCATACAAAACATCCATACTTATTACTGCACCTATTACATACATAGAACACTTAACTTCTGATATTAACCCTCCCCTCAAACATCTCCTTGCCAACCTCAACAGAACACATGACCATAACACAAGGCACAGATCACTCTTTGATGTTCCTCGTGTCCATTTCACACTATGCAAAAACTCAATGCACAAAAAAGGCCCTAAAATCTGGAATTCATTACCTGTAAATAAAAAAGAAAAAACACCTGTTTAAATTCAAGTCTTTTCTCAAAGATAAACTTACTCACCCAAAACCAAATAAATACTAAAAACTGAACCTTATAAATTGTATATCTTAATTTTTCTCTCAATTATCACTAAATGTTAAACCAAAACCCAATCTAACTTTAATTTTTTAAATACACTACCTAACAGAATACTCCATACGACTGAATGTACGACAATGCATGCAACCATATGACCTGTCTTTGTAATACTCATTTGTGCTTTATAGTTATCTGTTTACAATAATGTATTATCACTGATTTCATCATTGCTTAGTTAATTTTAAGCCAGCCTGTAATGCTATGCATAGTATAAGTGGCTTTGGCATGCTGCTCTTATCTGTATTTTTTTTGTACCTCTGTATGTATGCTCAAATTGTTAATAAATAAATAAAAAATAAATAAATAAATAAATATACACCTGGAAAATCCTAGAGGGACTAGTACCAAACTTGCACACGAAAATCATTCACAACAAAAGCAAAAGACTCGGCAGACGATGCAACATCCCCCAAATGAAAAGCAGGGGTGCCACATGCACATTAAGAGACAATACAATAAGTGTCAGGGGCCCAAGACTGTTCAACTGCCTCCCAGCATACATAAGAGGGATTACCATTACACCCCTGGCTGTCTTTAAGCATGCACTGGACAAGCACCCAAAGTCGGTACCTGACCAGCCGGGCTGTGGCTCGTATGTTGGATTGCGTGCAGCCAGCAGTAACAGCCTGGTTGATCAGGCTCTGATCCACCATGAGGCCTGGTCACAGACCGGGCCGCGGGGGCGTTGACCCCCGGAACTCTCTCCAGGTAAACTCCAGGTAGGTTATTATACTGTCTGTCTCTTTATTCCTCAATAAGTGGACAATTAAGCACATAGTGTTCAAGAGAGTGACCATATGCCTGATCACATAATTTACATTTAGTTTGATCATCATCTGTGTGTCTCCCAAACTGCCAGAAGTACTTGTAACCAAGCCTAAGCCTGGCCACTACAACATCAGTCAGTCTGTTCACATTGCACGTTGCTCCATAAACATACTTATCTACGTTCATGTTATCATAGTGGGTTATAGATCTACTCAGGCTTCTAACTGCATTCGTATAACAATCATTTTCATTATTTACTTCTCTCTTAATATTATTCCTAATGCTAGACACAGATATACCAAAGTTATATTCTACATTCTCCTTCTGGGTACTCTTCTTGGCTAACATATCAACTTTATCATGAAGACGTAATCCAATGTGTGATGGGATCCATAGCAATTGTACATTAATTCCTTTGTCCCTGATTTTTGAGTATCTATACCTGGCTTCTCCAATGAGCATGTTGTTGGAGTCATTATATGAGTCAAGAGCCTTCAATGATGACATAGAATCAGTAATGCTGATAGAGTCAAGCTCAGTGTCATAGGTTAGCTTTAGATACAGCACCTGGGGAAATGGGAAAATGAGCTCGCTCCAAGGAATAGGAGAACAGGTTCTGTTTCTTGGATCAAGAGCCTCTCACCAGCATAAAGGAACCTCAATTGAGAGTTAGCCTTCAATCCTTATCCAAACTAAGGGATATTTAGCACCATAACTGAGGTGGCCATTATGCAGCCATCCTCTGCATCTTACCAATCTAGCAAATAAATGATTTTACTTGTATCCTTGATATCTAGAGTCCTACTTCATTCACTCTGCCGGTCGCCAGTGTCTCAAGAATTTCTGAATCTCTCACTCATACTGCTGGATCCAATACAGTTTAAGACCTGCAACAGTCAACTTGTGACCATGTCCTACCTTGGAAAACACTTTCTGTAACTGATTAATTTCCTTAACCCGTAAACGGTCCAAGCAGATCTACGTTCACATGTGTAGTGCTACAAAAGTAGATCTACGTTTTTTTTACACATTTTCAAATATAACAAAAAAAAAGTAGATCAAAGTTTTTTTACACATTTTAAAATGTAAAAAAACAAAAAGATCTACTTTTTTGACATACTACTTTCAAATGTTGAAAAAAAGTATATATACGTTTGGACCGTTTACGGGTTAATAGAGCGAACTGGGTGCGATCGAGTAACTTAGTTTCCATAAGTTGTACTACACAGTCCTTCTCAGATGACAATCAAACAGGACCTCTTACAATGGTTATGTATTAAATTGGCTATAATTGATTCTAACAATTTCCCTACTTTTGATGTCAGGCTTATTTGGTGGTAATTTGATGGGGTTGACTTATCCCTTGATTTAAAGATAAAGAATTACATTAGCCATCTTCCACATCTCAGGCAAAACACCAGTTTGGATTGATGTGTTAAAGAGGCATGTTAGTAGCTGACTAAGTTCCCACTTGCACTCTTGAAATCAGGATTCGCACTTGTTCATTTTCTTGCATGTCACATCCCTGCTCCTCTCAAGGGAGGTTCCTTGATGCTGGTGAGGGGATCTTGATCTAGGGAATTAGATCTGTGCTCTGGTTCCCTGAATTGAGTCTGAATGCCTTCCATCTCCCCCCCCCCCACATGCACTGTATAATCCTACGGGTTTAGCACTCCCCCATGATTATAATTATAATAATATCTGTGCTAACTAATTCAGCTAGATTCTGATCTGTGGGTACATACAAGATTTTAAAATCTGGGTAAATGAAGATTTGTTATTCTTGACCCAATGCAGGGCCTCCTTGAAATCTGACCAAACATGCGGGGTAATAACATACCAGTCGTTCAACATTTCCTTTACATAATTTCCCATCCTTATCCCAATAATAGTGTAGTCAACTCCAACTCTGGGGTTCAACACATGCTTGGCTGGTGACTAGGTTCAATATCTGTATGGACATCTTTGCAGGTACCTGATAATCTCTCATAATCTCACTCTACCATGCCTTGCAACTTCAGATTATTTGTTGCCCACTCTCTCAATGGCATGTCAGCTGAATATATCAATTTATTAGATTCCTGATGGTACCCATAAATAGTATTTGTTATAACCAAAACTAAGTGCCAAACCCACAAGGGTCATATAGTTCTGCAGGGTTTGATACACTAAAGAAGAAATATGAGAAGAACAGCAACCAGTGAGGGTTAGTAGTGTGTTAGTATGACAGTGGGGAATGCTAAAGGGAAAATATAATTTAAGTTAACATAATAAGCCAGTTGGTGACAAACAGTCAGAGGAAGTTTGTGTCAAGGTGCGGCATATCCATTAATAGCCTCTCAGTTGAGAGGCAAATCTTTAATAAGGCTACAGGTCAAGTCTTTAATAAGGCTACAATAAACCTGTAGAGGTCATACATTTATTTTAACAAGTGGAAAAGTACCTCTGGAACAGGAGGCCATCAGATTTGATCCAAGGAAGGAAAGGAAGGTTCAAATTCTTTAGATCAGGAGTCCTTCATAGTTATCATGACACCCACTCTTGAAAGGTTCTTACTCACAGCTATTTTATTTGGCTTTAAACTTGTGGGTTATTAAGGGTGCTGTTAACCTGTACTTCACTTTGTAGTAAACATTTTGATAAGTATCTCTTGATGTGTATACATTGACAGAAACAGTGTATGTATACATGGAGGGGTATTTATCTAAGTATGTATAGATACACTTAAAGTTTACTTTAATCCTCATAGCTCCATATTTAGGATTAAAATATTCTTGATTGGTACTGATAGGGTTACATGCAGTCTTAGTGACTTTTGTGTTGCCAATATGGTTTAAACCCAAGTAACCATCCTATAATTCATAACCCAGTAGTAACATGTGATTTGCAACCAAAGGATATATGTATATTCAATCGTGGGTAAGGGGAAGACAGGCAAATATTGTAACACTTGCTGCTCCTGTTCAGCTAGCAGTGAATAGGTGTTACCTGACTGTTGTGGGTCACATCTTGAGAAACTGGGTCACTAACATGAGATGATATAATCTACATTATTAAGGAAATTAGCAGACTTTAGTGCAAACAAGATCAAGTGATGAGTATTAGTGTGTGGTACAGGAGCTATGTTCTCTGAGAAACAAGGTGATAGGTGTGTTTCCTAGGTGAAAAAAAATGGCAGTACTATTCATTAACTATCAATTCTGATACAGTATTTGCCATTCTGAATACATTTTACTATAATTTACTGTAACATAATACCTTCATAGTTGTAAATGGTATAGTGATACTGATCAACTGTGGAAAAGGACACTTGGGTACAGTTCAGGACATTCTTTAAAGGAATCATTATGCCATGAGTGGCTTCATTAGTCTTAATACCCTCATTGCTTAGTCCTAGTTTGTCTACCCAAAATGCTGTGCTAACTCAAATTTGTTTGAATGTGTACATGAATAAACTGTAAACTCATGTCTTGTAATAACTACATTGAAATGGGGTTGTAGAAGAAGTAAATGCTAGGGTGTTGGGGAGAAGGGTGGAATTAAATTAGTACAGTATATGGAGAATCAAATACAAAATAGGAGTTGACAGTTACTTTTTGCTGATGATACAGTACTTTTGGGAGATTCTAAAGAAAAGTTGCCAAGGTTAGTGGATGAGTTTGGGAGGGTGTGTGAAGGTAGAAAGTTAAAAGTGAACATAGATAGAAGTAAGGTGATGAGGGTATCAAGTGATTTAGATAAAAATTGGATTTCACATCGGAGGGAGGGAATATGGAAGAATTAGTGATACCATATCTATTCATCAAACACAGATTAAATTCATCTCTTGTAAATTATGAGTATCTTGTTATAAAAGGTGACTAAAATGCCATGGGCAATGATAAAGATACCCTTTTGCAATCATCAGAAGAAGAAATCTCTAAGTAAATTGCATGTACTGTATCCTGATGAACAAGATCAGTTACCCCATTCCTGGAATTAATAGTAAGGAAAAACAAAGGATGTATATTTTCTTTTTTTTTTTTGGGGGGGGGGGGATCCCTGCTTTAACAGGAAAGTCCCAAAGTTAAAGGCAATTATTAAGAACAAATAAAATTTTCAATAACATGATGACTTGAAATATTCAAAAAGTTGTGCCCACAATACATGTACAATAGAAAATATCCAGCATTTATTTATTAGAAAATACTTGGAATATGTGCACACTGAAAGTAGATATACAACCACTAGAAAAGGCCCATATCCATATTGTTGTAGACAGGGGCATTCATGTCCCGCTGCATGTTGGACTTGTGCTTGAGTTTAGCCTGCAGCAGCTTCTGTTCCACTACTCCTATTCGAACATCCATGGCTGTGATCTCCTGCCGCACTCGTGTCAGTGCTTTACGAATGTTCACCAGAGGAGCTGGGGAAATAACCAACAATTCATTGCATAATTCAAATTCTGTATAATGCAGAAAAATGAAACCGAGAATTTCTTTATTCCTAGTTACATACTATATATGCTTGTGTTCAAAAACTCTTATAAAAAACAACAGTTTATCACCAGATACACAATACATAGTATGAAATTAGTATGCTATACCACAAATTTCGAAATTTCATTTAAGATATGTTTTACAACATGTTTAAGTAAAACTGGAATATAGAACTACACTATGTTATCCTCACTAATTTTTTTTTTTTCAGCAAGTTGGCCGTCTCCCACCGAGGCAGGGTGACCCAAAAAAGAAAGAAAATCCCCAAAAAGAAAATACTTTCATCATCATTCAACACTTTCACCACACTCACACATTGTCACTGTTTTTGCAGAGGTGCTCAGAATACAACAGTTTAGAAGCATATACAAGATACACAACATTCCCTCCAAACTGGACCAATTATAAATGTATTATGAGTGCGTTTAAAATGTATTTGGGGTCTGAAATTTATACATCTACTTCACTAGTATTCCTTATGAAAAATTCGGGCGTCTCACCGACCCTACCCGAAGAAAAAAGTTAACCCACAAAAGAAACAAAATCCCCCAAAGAAAACACTTTGATTCATCACCACAACACTTTCACCCTCACCAAAAAACATATGTCACTAGTTTTTTTTTTCAAGGGCCAGACCCACCAGCCAGTAAAAGAAAGAAAATACGCAAAAAGATACACAAAAAAAATATCACTTTCCAAACTCCAATAATCCCGAACCCACACGTTTAGAAAAATACAGCAAAGTACATCACCATTTCCAGAAATCCCAAAATTCCGGCTTTAGAGAAATATTCCCCTTTTTCCTAAATCCACCTTCACTAAATATTACCCCTGCTCACACTCCAACAGATCGTCAGGTCCCAAATAGTATTCATCTCCATTCACTCCTATAGAACACGCTCACGCATGCCTGCTGGAAGTCCAAGCCCCTCATCCACAAAGCCTCCCTTACCCCTTCCTTCCAACCTTTTTGAGGACGACCCCTACCCCGCCTTCCTTCCCCTACAGATTTAAATGCTCTCCATGTCATTCTACTTTGATCCATTCTCTCTAAATGACCAAACCACCTCAATAACCCCTCTTCACCCTCCACACCTCCTAATTTCCACACTCCGAATTTTCTGCATAATATTTACACCACACATTGCCCTTAGACAGGACATCTCCACTGCCTCCAACCGCCTCCTCGCTGCTGCATTCACAACCCAAGCTTCACACCCATATAAGAGTGTTGGTACTACTATACTTTCATACATAAAATAGAAAAATTTCAGAAATGTTCAAAAATTTATTCTGGTTAACAAATAAGAATTACCAAGAAAGGCTGAAAATACTGAAAATATGCTTGTTAACAGAAAAAAAAAAAAAGGTTTGACACATGTATAGTAAAGGAATCTTCAGCTTGCATGGATTCTAAACAACAATAATAACAATGATAATAATTTGGGATTCTGTTATTTTTGAGTGTTTGTTCTTTCAAGAATTTCACAAGCACGTGCACACTAAGCCATAAAGTCTCCCCACTGGAAGGAGAATAAATTTAGGTCATCTATATTATTTCCATTATTGAAATACAGGTATTAAGAGCAGCCATTGGTGAGAGATAGGTATTCAGGGAACCTATAATCTCTCCATTGGGTAGGGATAGGTATTCAACACTTAGTTTCCCCATCTAATCAGTAATTTAAAGAATTAAATATAGGTAACAGAATATCTATAATTCAGCTTAAGTCAAGAAAGTCATTTGCTGACATAGGTTTCTTGATTGAGGCCATAATACATAGATTTTTTTTTTTACTTGTGTTTCATTTTTCAGTCCAAGTGGTTTCCCCCTTTCATACATGTAGAGTTATTTCTACAGTGTTAAACAAACAATGCAAGCTTACTTACTGCCATCAGTCATGCTGGAGCCCCTCTCTTCCATCTCATGCTTAACTCTGTCCAGTTCATCAGATATCTGTGCCAATTCATGAGATTTTTCCACAAGTTTTGTAGACACTAGGCGATACTGTTCTCGACTCTCTGCTGCTACATTCTGGCCATTGATAAATACAACAAAATCATAGTACTGGATATACAAAATTGGATGGAGGAGTGAAGCAACAATATGAGATGAATGGTCATAGTAAATGGAAAAAATGTATGAAGGTGGAGGCATGATAGACAAAAAACAGTGCAAGGAAAATTTACAGGCAAACATGAAGGAATGTTAATGGAAAAAGATTTCATAACTGAGAAAGATGAAATAGAACAGGGAATATTTAGACAGAACTTCTTGGAGACTTGTGTCTATAGTATGCAGAAAGGAGCAAGTATTTAGCAACAAATGATGTACTCTGCGTGCAATTCTTTCTTTCTTCTGTAACTTCCAACAAATCATTATGTATAAGACTTTGTGCAGTAACACTAAAGGGTCATTCACTGTTTAAGCTATATCACAAACCTGGAGGTTCCGATATTCCAACAACAGTGGCTCCAGCTGGCTATTTAAATATTTTTCTCGAGAACCAATTTTTTCAAGACTACGAGAAATTTCAGAGTGTAGAGCATCAAGCTGCTTCTGAGTAAAGTTGAACGTGTCATTTATCTTAGCTTTATGTTCATGCATCTGTTCAATATGAGATCGCCAGTCCCGGTTATCTGTTAAAAATAAACACAGGTAAATATGATTGGCCCTTACCTTTCTGGAAACAGGAATTCTGTGAAGGGTAAGTGACTGTGGGGTTGCACCTCAAACTTCCTGATGTATTGAAATAGGAAATTGAGGTTAAACACTCCTTAGCTACCTTGAAAGCAATTGGAAATTACTCCTGCTTGTTAAATTTAGATTCTTGTTGGCATACACTTCTAAGATAATCTTGTCTCATTAACTCTGACTTTTATAATTTGGAAATACTGTAATTAAATTACACATTAAGAGCCCTTACAAAGACTTCAATAAAATATGTTCAATATAATTCTAGTAAGAAAGTAATGGAAAATGCTGAAATACAGATAATTATTATTTTATAACCAGAACATCATTAATACGAATAAAAAATAAAGAAAAACTAATACAAGTACTTAGTAGGCGTACCTGATCTTATGGTAACTTTCAACTGAGGAAGAACACGCTCAAGTTCCAGTCTCCACTCTTCAGATGTAGTAGTAGAATGTAGAATATCATCAGGCCAAGCTTCCCCATTCTGTGATAATGTATTGTTTTATTAGTTTTATCCTTAACAGAGCTAGAGCTTGATTTATATTAACACAGCTAGACGAGTAAACACACACCTGACTTATCTATGTACCTTCTGTTTTGTCAAGTCTTTAAGATCATCCATATGAAGGATATTTTCTTCTTCATCATCATCATTATCATCGTATTCATTCATCATTTCTTCCTCTACTTTGTCAAGAGTTAATTCTGCTTCATCTTCCACTTCACCTTCATCACCTCCAGTGTCTTCAGCAGGATATATGGGCCTAAACAGTGCAGTGGTATTAATTATTACATCAGTCACTACAATTAACATATTTTTCTTAAACAGCATTAATTTAGAGTAAATCTTCCTAATCATCTAGACTTTAATGAACTTCTCATATGTATTTAAAAAATAGAAATATTATCATGTGCGGTTATTATAGATTTAGCCGGACTTGAGTCCTGGAAATGGGAAGTACAATGCCTACACTTTAAAGGAGGGGTCTGGGATATTGACAGTTTGGAGGAACTTCTAAACTGTCGTATCTAAGCGCCTCTGCAAAGACAGTGATTATGTATGGGTGAGGTGAAAGTGTTGAATGATGATGAAAGTATTTTTTGGGGGTGGATTTTCTTTCTTTTTGGGTCACCTTGCCTCAGTGGGAGATGGCCAATTTGTTAAAAAAAAAAAAAAAAAAAGCATATAGAACAAGCAAGAATGTGCTTTTTACAGTTTTTTTTTTTAGCACATCAGCTTTTCCCATCAAGGTAGGATGACCCAAAGAAGAAAACACATTCATTATCACTTATTCAACAGCAATTTTTCCAGAATTATGCATAGACATCACATTTCCAGTGGCCCTCTGAACTGCAATATCCCCACACACCTTTCAGAGTGGAAGACTGTGCTTCCCACCTCAAGAACTAAGCCCAGCTAACAATATTCTCTAACTTCATAGATGTTACTTTGCTTACACTCTGACAGCATGTCTAATGTCAAAAAACCACTTGTTTCCTTTCACTCTGATCTAATTTGTTGGATGCTGAAGTCCTTACCATACAAAACTGCAGTGTATATATACAATTATTATTTTGATGAATACAAGACTTTTCACAGCTAGCTAACATTTATCATAAAAAGTTACTCCTGTTAGTGGTATGGAACAGAAATGGTACTGGCCATCTCCCACCAAGGAAGAGTGACCTGGAAAAGAAACACTTTCACCATAATTCACACTATCACAGTCTTGCCAGAGCCACACAGATACAACAGTTTAGATGTCACTCTAAACAGCAAATATCCCAATCATTTAAATGAAAAACTAAAATAATGAAGACAAATAATTTATGACTTCAGAAAGTGTTTACTCATTCGTTCTGAATGAATAAATAATGAATAACTAGAAAGGCCAATATAACTTAATTATGAACAAACTTTATTAACCAATCTTGATTTGGTCAATCTTGATGTAGTCAATCACATTAATTTGTGCTCACAGTCTTACAGATATAAGGATGCTGAGTAGATAAGATGTTGCATAGGGTTCCTTAGCACAACAGAAAGGACTATTAGATAGTCATTGTTTTTAAGGTATAAACTGAACCATAAATTTTTGCTATTGTATCATTTGTACTTTTTTCTTGTCCTAAAACAAACTGGAAAGGGATAAGAATACTGTACTGCATTCTGTTATGAATTTATACATTCAATTGGTTTAAAGTCATTGATATTAGGTGAGTCTCCACTTCTGCTGACTGGTGTAACTTAGCTAGCTGAAGTATATTTGTGAACATTTTTGTTTCCATAAATTTGCTAAGCAAGATAACATCAAATAACAGGTAGAAGCTATAGAGTATTAATGGAAATTATAAAGAAAAAACAGATATTCAGTAGAGTCTACACAATTACATAACATACAGAAAAAGTTTTACTTACTTTTTCCACATAAAATTAGATTGCTTGAGTGCAAAATCTGCAAGGCGGTCAAGAACAAAGATGGCATGTTCACCATGGCCAGTCTTTAACTTGCTGGGTGGGAAGTCAAATGTAACACCCTGAAGTAATAAGAAACAAACGCTTATTTCCACAAATATGCAATGAATTATTCAATATATTAACAGCTCTAATCATACAAAAGCTTGGCATAATGTCACCATAATGATAAGAGGAGGATATGAGCCAAGCAAGTGGTATTAATGTCCACTCCACTCTTAAGCTAGACTATAAAGTGAATCACATGCCAGGAGCAACTGGTGACATAGATGAAGCTTCTCCTTTGCTAGGCTTCATAAAGTCTGGAACCAATCAAGACTGTAGAGGTCTAACTGGAGCAATAAAAATGGTACTACTGTACTACTCTCTATAGGAACCAGGGAAAAGGGGCATAGAAGCTGGAACATTGTACATTTAATGACATTGCTACAGATGTTGTTACTGATATCTTTTCCATTTGATTCATACAATTTTTATTTTTGGGTACCCACTGGTTATAATACACAGTACCTACTACTATAACAAGCAACAGCCACTTGTTTTCCCTATTGATAGTGTTAGAAAACCTCTCTTATTAATTCTTTTTATACAGTATTATAATCTCATATGTGGTTAAATGTTTTTTGAAATGCAGACACCATACTACTGCTGCATATTCCAATTTTTTCTAACATGTTGTGAGAATTTAATTTAGCATTCCCCCAGTCATACATACCTGCAAAAAAAATAAACAATTACAAATTTATTATTATATGTCACCTTTACACACGTTTTTGTATTTTTCTTGTAATATCAGAGAAGCTAAATACATAATAATACATAGTTCTCACACCATAATAATACATAATACACAGTTCACACACCAGCTGTCTAAGGTGGTCGAGTATGCTAGAGATAGTTGAATTAGGGTCGTCATATTCCTGAGGTTGCTCCATGTGTCTCCCGGACTTACGAATCAACCATGCACTCAGTGATGTAAACAGATAGAACTGCTCTCCAGGGTTAGTAGCCACAGCAAAATAGTGTCTGGAACACACATATATTAACTACAGTAAAATATTTTTGAGTACTGTAGAAGGGGATGAATATGCTACTCAGCTCCTCCACTGAAATTACAGCAATATTAAAATACACAAGAGTGACACCAATTAATGCTTTCTTTTGGTTACCCTGTCTTGGTGGGAATAGATAATAAGATTTTTTTTACCTTAATTGCTATCTCCCACCAAGATGGACCCAAAGAAGAAAATACATTCACCATCATTCATTCAACTGCTGTCCTTCCAAAAGAATGCCAATATTACAATTTAGATTACCCTCCAACAACAGGATCCCCACCCCTCCTTCAGAGTGCAGGCACTCTCCTTGCCTAGGACTCATGTCCAGCTAACTAGTTTCCTTGAATTCCTTCATAAAAGTTATTGCTCACACTTCAACAGCATGCTGAACCTTACTCTCTGCTTAAAACCTCTTAACTGCTTACAGTAACCTACCTCCTATTTTTCAAATTTGCAACAACTGCCACATGGCTATTCTATCCACCCTATCATATGCCTTTTCTAAATTCATAAAAGCAACAGGACAGTTCTTTACTCTTTTCAAAGTATTTAAATGCCTCAATGTAAACATTTGATCTATACATCCCTAACCCTTTCTAAATCCTCTCTTTTATCCCCTTTTCCCTCACAGAAAAAGTCATAATATTTTTACATTTTATGATTACTTTCAGCAGTTTTATACATCACAAATTCATACAAAAGGGCAGTGCACATATGCAATGAATCCTCAGCCATACCCAGGCCGGGATTGAACCCACTGGAGTTTTGAGACTCTCTGACCGCGGGTTCAATCCCGGCCGGGGTATGGTTTGTTTGCAATCGTGTCATTACGATTTCGTGAGTCAATCCTCAGCCTTGAGTTGTCAGTATTCAAAGTTTCTTTCAACTGGCATCCAGATGCTAACAAGGGCTAATATTTGGAAAAACATGGTGAGAGAACATGAGTAGTGAGCAGAAAACAGCAAATATTACACCTGATGTATTATGTAAGAGGAACAAATAGGAACATAAAACCTTAGTCTTGGTTTTATTTCTTTAGATGCTCTCCTATCCCAGTATAGTGTGCTGTAATATTAATGATTTAATCTTCAGAATGCACGTAGCCTGACCTGACCTTGGCTGTCTCCTCACCTTTCTGATCTGACCTAACTTATTAACCTGAATTAATTTCTTTCCCTTTTCATTCACTTATGACTTGATATTGGGTCAGGATGACCCAAAATTTAATTTTACTTTTGCCTCCTATTTGTGGGTTAGTCTTTTACAGTATACTATATAAGTACAGTACATATGGTGCTCATGGTTTGGTTGATAGCATCCTCAGTTCACACACTGAAGGCTCTGGGAATCGATACTGGCAAAGGGGAAACGGGCATGTTTCCTTATACCTGCTGCCCCTGTTCACCTAGAAGTAGGTACTTGAGTGTTAGATGACTGTTGTAGGTTGCATCCCTTGAAACAAAATTAACTTAAGTTGCTCAAAATGCTCTCAATAACCAGGGGCTTTCAATATAGTATGCCAATGATGTCAGCTAGGTCTGTAATACAATGTAGCTGTATTATGTATTTATAGAAATAAAGATTATTATTATTTTTTATTATTACATGTATTATTATTATTATTATTACATGTATTATTATTATTATTATTACATGTATTATTATTATTATTAGATACTCTGAAATGTATATGCAGTATGTTATACAGGATAAAATAAAAGATACCAGTATCGTAGTTACCTGTTCAAAGGTTTCATTTAAGTTCCATGAGGAAATCTTTATCATAATTCAAAAGTTTGAGTTTATCTAGCAAATCATCCATGACAACAAATGGCATATATGCTAGACCTGGCCCTCCATCCAGCTCCTCAGTTTCCTCTTCAGCCGGGCCTCGACGAGCACTCATACTTCTTTATCTTGGTAGTACTGAGGTGATACAAATCACACCTACTGTCAAAAAGATTATTATTATTTTATTATTATTATTATCACACTGGCCGATTCCCACCAAGGCAGGGTGGCCCGAAAAAGAAAAACTTTCACCATCATTCACTCCATCACCGTCTTGCCAGAAGGGTGCTTTACACTACAGTTTTTAAACTGCAAAATTATTATTATTATTATTATTATTATTATTATTATTATTATTATTATTATTATTATTATTATATTCAAGGGGAGATTCTAAACTGAAAATAGCCACACACTGTCTGGAATGGGAGGTAATCAGGTTAGATCCACGAAGGGCATGGCACCTCCAATTCCTTGGTTCAAAAAACCTTGACCATTATCTTGTGAAAGTGTTAAATCCAGAAAGATTGTGCAGAGCCTGGGGAATAGGAGTTTATTACTATTATTGTTATATTCATGGGGAGCATTAATCCTGCAGGAGTTATATAGCAGCATGGGAATGGAAAGCAATTAGATTTGATCCAGAGAAAACAAAAGACTCGGCAGATGATGCAACATCCCCCCAATGAAAAGCAGGGGTGTTACTAGCACGTTAAGAGACAATACAATAAGTGTCAGGGGCCCGAGACTGTTCAACTGCCTCCCAGCATACATAAGGGGGATTACCAATAGACCCCTGACTGTCTTCAAGCTGGCACTGGACAAGCACCTAAAGTTGGTACCTGACCAGCCGGGCTGTGGCTCGTACGTTGGTTTGCGTGCAGCCAGCAGTAACAGCCTGGTTGATCAGGCTCTGATCCACCAGGAGGCCTGGTCACAGACCGGGCCGTGGGGGCGTTGACCCCCAGAACTCTCTCCAGGTAAACTCCAGGATAGCTTCAATTCTTTAAGTCAAGAGCCCTTCATCAGTATCAAGGTACCTTCCTTAAAGGACAGGAAACGAGAGGTAATCAAGATTCATTCAAGGAAGGGAAGGACAGCTACAATTATTATTATTATAATCAAGGGGAAGAGCTAAACCCGTAGGATTATACAGCGCCTGGGAGGGATGTGGAAGGCATTCAGGCTTAATTCGGGGAACTGGAGCACAGATCCAATTCCCTAAATCAAGAGCCCCTGACCAACATCAAGGAACCTTCCCTGAGGGGTAAATATTATTGATACATGTTAAACTATGTGTCATAATTGTACTTATGTATACCTGTACCTAAGTAAACTTCCTGTTGCTACTGTTATTATAATCAAAAGTAAGCGCTAAACCCATAAGGCTTAAGGATCCCCAATGGAAATAAGTCACTTTGACTCTTATTTTGGGTTATCCTGCTAGATAATTTACACATATGCTGCTATGTATAATAATCTATATAATTGTATATATGTATAACTGAATAAACTTAGTTAAGAACTGACTGTCTTACTATTATTAGAATAAAAAAAGAAGCGCTAAACCACAAGGGCTATACAGCTGTCTTACTGTTGTTGTTGTTAGTGTTTTGGTTGTCATGGTAACCACTAAACTTCATACCACAGGCTCAAAACTATTTTAAAAATTATTATCAATTACTTGATTAAATTAAAATATATGAGCACTGTAATATTAAACCTTTAAACTTGTATTAATTACATTTTTACCACCTGATTATAAAAGCTTAAAACATGCTTTATCAATTAATTTTTGTCTCTGTGGAAGAAAAGTTTATAACCTCAAGTATTTCTGAGTTTGAGGTGAGATAAGACAAATAATAATTAATATAGACACTTAGAGATGTATTATTATTATAGATAACAACGTCTGCTTTTATCTCTTATCTCAGAGTAACTTTTTTGAGTAATTTTAAAGTTTAAATAATAAGATATTACAAGAACCATAATGGAAATAACTAATTTTGATTTTGAGTTATCCTGATATAGGTAATTTACATATATGTTGAATGATAGCTCTTGGCCTTTCGTGTTGCAATCAACACATCATCAGGAGCTTGCAATGCTGCACCCCTCAGGGAAGGTTCCTTGATGTTGGTGAGGGGCTCTTGATTTAGGGAATTGGATCTGTGCTCCAGTTCCCCGAATTAAGCCTGAATGCCTTCCACATCCCCAGGCGCTGTATAATCCTACGGGTTTAGCGCTCCCCTTTGATTATAATAATAATAATAATAATTGCAATTTTGCAGGAAAGAGGAAGGTGTCTAAGGAAAACAGGATCACAAGGAGCGCCTTTTCTGCAACATTGCAAGCTCCTGATGATGTTGATTGCAACACGAAAGGCCTAGAGCTATCATTCAACTCCCCCTGTAGTTGTTTTGCATCTTAAATTGCTTGTTCGCGTTATTTGCATAATAAATTACTATGTATGATAATTTGTGTAACTGTATTTATGTGTACCTAAATAAACTTACTTGAGAAGCTGTATCTTGACTCATCTGTCTTATCTTAATGTTATTATCAACACTACCACCTTGCTTTTACATTAATGTTTCTTAACATCTTTCAACCTGTTATCCCCCTCAAGGAAGGTTCCTTGATGTTGGTGAGGGGCTCTTGATTTAGGGAATTGGATCTGTGCTCCAGTTCCCCGAATTGAGCCTGAATGCCTTCCACATCCCCCCCCCCCCAGGCGCTGTATAATCCTCCGGGTTTAGCGCTTCCCCCTTGATTATAATAATAATAATAATCAACCTGTTATCATCCTTCTATGTCTAACTTAACCTCTCAAAGGATGGTCCTTTATGCCAGTGAAGGCTCTTGGTCTAAGGATTTGGAGACATCCTCCTCCCTAATGGAAATAAGTCACTTTGACTATTTTTGGGGGATATCCTGCTGCTAAATTTACTCTGTATGATAATTGTACTTAAGTTTACCTGTTCCTAAATAAACTTATACTTCCTTAGATCAAACCTGGTTAATCCCATTCCTCTGGAAAGAATTTTATTTTATGAATGTTTTATACAAATTTTCCCTTCCTCTTTCTCCTTTACCTTCTCTGTATATTCCCTGCTGTCTTTCTCCCCTATTTCTTTTTTTTTTTGTGGTTGAGTTGGTAGCTGTCTCAGCTGAACGAGGATTTAGGGTTCGAATCCCAGCAACGTTGAGCATATTCCTTACATCTGCTGTCCCTCTTCACCTAGCAATAAGTAGGTACCTGGATGTTAGTTGCCTGGTGAGGGTTGCATCCTGGGGGAGAGGATTAAGAATACCCAGTGGAGCTAAACTAGACAGTCCTCGAGGATGCATTGACTTTACTGATGGATGAAGATATACCTGGAGAGGGTTTCAGGGGTCAACGCCCCTGAGGCCCAGTCTGTGACCAGGCCTCACGGTGGATCAGGGCCTGATCAACCAGGCTGTTACTGTTGGCTGCATGCAACCTGATGTTCAGTATCTTGTAATAATGTATTATTTTTTACAATATATGTAAATTTCAAATACAGTAGTCGGATTTTGTTGTATGCTTCACTGTTGTGAAGCATGTGATAACTGTGGTCATTTATTCTGCCAGGTTGCACCAAGGAAGGCTGAGACTATGGAAGCAGCCTTAGAGAAAGTTCTTTCTAATCCTGGCCTGGGGCTCCTGCTGCTGGATGATGTTAACCGTGGCCTGGCAGAGGATGTGGAGCAATTGCGGCAGGAGGTCTCGCATGTGAAAGAAACTTGGAAATCGCAAAGCGAAGCTCACAAGCGGAATACCGAATATGTCTCTGATATGACGCAGATGCTGGATAATATACAGGTAGCTAACCACCTGTATAGTTTAGTATGTATACATATTTTAGAGTACAGTAATTAAATATTCCTTGCATTTTACTGAAGGAATTGTGTGTTCTTTCATGACCACTAGATATAGTACTATACGTATATTTTTAACAGCTGTTTTGTATGACTTTTGCTGTAATTCTTGACTGTTATCTAGGAACTGCCATTGAAGGTGGGAAGGATGGAGAGATTGCTCAGATACTGGTGAAGTGTTTTTGATCCAAGGAATTTAAGTTATCTTTCCCTTTCTTGGGTCAAAACTGATTACCTAGGTACTCTATAACCCCAGTAGGTTTAGTTCTTCCTCATTATTAAAATAATTCTCAGAAGCTTTATTGTTTCAGAAATTAGTGCTTGCTCACCGTCATGACATAGAACTGGAAAGTAAACAAGAGAAAGCAACAAGTAGTGAGGCAGAAGGTACTGTACGACAGTGCAGGAAGAAGCATAATGATTTAGCTAATATCCAAGAAGCCTCCGAACTGCTAGAAACCCATGTAACTCAGCGGCACAGAGAACTTGAAGATTTACAAAAGAATTTGACAGGGGACTCCAGTTTGCTAAAGGAATTACTGGATCATTTAGCAGAAGCTGACAGTGATAACTTACTGCTGTTGCAGTATTCTGCACATGATGCTTCAAAAATTAAGGTACACTGTACCCTACAGTAATATTCAAATTGTATTATATTATTTTAAATAAAAAATTATGCTTATATAGGACCTCTAATAAAGCAGTTACTACTTATAAATTTTTACTTCTTAAATCACCATTTAATAGCTAAGAGCAGAAATGGAAAAAAATAATAGAAGAAATTACCATTAACAATGAACTTGTGATATCTACTTAAGATTCCTTGCACTTTCTGGAAGCTGTGGGAACAGTATGTGGTGTCTAAGGCCATGTCGGTTATCAAGAATTTGAGTACTTTATGTATTTATGGATAAATAATGATTGCATATCAAATATTTAGATGATATGTATTTCTTCCTTATCTTCCTTGTAAAAAAACACTGGGATAGCATTGCCCCTTTCTCCTTGTTAAGTAGTTTGTAAGTAATAGTTTCATCCTGCCTGAAATGCTTCACATAACAAGGAACTTTACAAAGAATGCACAGAAATACAGTCCCTGAGCTGAAGCAGTGTCCTGTAATTTTTAGAAATAAAGTTTTATTTGACTTTGGCAGGAACTTAGTGTTGCTCTTGAGCGTCTAAGTGGTGAAGTAGCAGCCAGTGAAGCAGAATTATCTAGTGCTCAGGCAGAAGCAGTAGCAGCACAGACAGCCTTGGATCAACTTGGAACAGCATTCTTACAGGCAGCTGCAACTCGTGATCACCTCCTGGCCCAGTGGGAGATCACCCTCAGTCACATCTGTCAGAAAGCTAATGAACAGACTAACTGTATAGAGGTTAGTTTGCTTATTATAATATGATACATCTGTGTACTTGTGCACTTGAAAATTAGGAATATTTCCTATAGGCTGGCTACTTAGTATTCAAGGCTTTTTTATAGTTATAAGACAGTTTTAACAGTAGTACTGTATACTTATATTGTAGAACATAACATATAGCACAATTCTCCAAATATTCAGTTCCTTCAGGGATGGTGCCTTGATGCTAGTGAAAGGCTCTTGATTCAAGGAATTAGAGCTACCCTTCCTTTACTGGATCAAACCTGATTACCTCCCATTCCCAGGTGCTGTATGATGCCTACAAGTTAAGCATTCTCCCACGAGTATAATAATATTTAATTTAATAGTCAGCCATTCCCATTGTATTATGTTGTATAGACTGTCCATTTACAATTGTAATGTTGAAGAATCTTATTTCAGGATTCACTAGCAGTGCAACAGAAGATTGGTCTTCTAAAAGGAGAGTTAGAGCAAGAGAATCAAATACTGAAGCAAGTCCAAAATTCACGACGAGAAGTGATAGAAAACACTCGAGGTGTAGAGGAGGATGGAACATGGGTTAAAGATCAGTATCAAACTGTTGCCTCAACCAGAGAAAAGATTGAATCCCAGGTAGTAATTTTTTGTTACTTTGATATTACAGTACATTCACAGTTCCTGTAAATTATAATATCATCCCTATTTCATAACTGATTTGAGTGGGGGACCACAGTGTGTTAAGATGGATATCTTCACTTGATGAATATGTGTGCTGTTTTAAATGTCAATCCAGAGTGATTGATTAACATTTATAAGATTGAAATTCCTGTTATAAAATTATTTATTGTTTGTTTTGTGCTTGACAGTTATGGGCTCTTCAGAATGCTTTCAGTAAAATCAATAAAGAAATTGAGACCTTAACTCTTCAACTGTCTGAGCAAATAGAATTTCGAGAAGAGAAAGAAGCCTCTCTTGCCAGCTTAGAGCAGAAATGCAAAAAATCAGAGGAGAAATTGACCATTAACACTGAACTTGTGATATCTACTGAAGATTCCTTGCACTCTCTGGAAGCTATGGTAAAGGTAAGTATTGTCCAGGGTCATGTTGGTCAACAAGAACTCAAACATTTCATGTATTCGTTTACATAAAGAAGTATTGCAAACTAAATATTAAGGTGATATGCAATTCTCCCTTTTCTGCCTTATTTTTCGTAATATCAATAAAAACACTGAGAGGGTGTTGCTTCCTTTTTCTCTTATTTTCCTTATACCGTACTGGACCATATGCTTACTGGTATACTAGCAGGGTAGTCCTCTGCAGTTATGCTTGTTTGCTTGCTTGCTGTTGCCTATGTGTATTCATGCATCCTTCAAGAGTGGTAATTTCATACTAGTAAAGAGCTCTTGATTTAAGGAATTGGCACTATCCTTTCCTTCTTCAGCACAAGCTGCCTGGTTACCTTCAGTTTCTCCTTGAGCTATATGACCCTTTAAGAATTTAGTACTTCACCTTGAATATAATAATACAGTGGACCCCCGTTTTATGATATTATTTCATTCCAGAAGTATGTTCAGGCGCCAGTACTGAATGAATTTGTTCCCATAAGGAATGTTGTGAATTAGATTAGTCCATTTCAGACCCCCAAACATACACATACAAATGCACTTACATAAATACACTTACATAATTGGTCACATTGGGAGCTGATCGCAAAGCGGGGGTCCACTGTATTAGTGAATGAACAGGCTTGTATCAGTAGAGATGTACAAATGTGCTCTGAAACTTAATGGCAGAATGAGATGTTTGATGAGATGGATTAACACATTTTTATAAGTTTTTTGTTTATTCAAATATACTCTAATGCTATGCATGGTGTCACTATATACACGTATTTTATTTTGCAGGAAGCTGAGGGTTTGGTTAAGAGCTTAACAAAACAGAAGGAGAGGGTGATGGAGGCTGAGTTGCATCATAAGAAAGCTCTGATGATGTGGCAGCAACAAGAGGCTGCAGTAAAAGGAGAGATCATGGCTTTGCTTTCAACAAAGTCTCGGAACTTAACCTACATAAAAGAACTGGATAGCAGGGCTGTGAAACAAAAAGAAGTTCTGCATGATCAGGTACAATATTTTGTATGAATACACTTTGGTATGGTAATGTATATTTACTTTTTGAATTAGAAAGAAAATACAGCATGATATTGTACATATATTTTGTCTAAATATTAGTGCAGTAATTTGTACATTAATTATTATTTATAATTACCCATATATTTTTTTTAATTTACCATTGGTTGTAACACTTATATCTTTCTATTGTAATCCATTCCATTTTCTATTACTGTAAAGATTAATATTTTCTTATCCTCTTGCCAGCTCTTTCTTACTCCAGTAAGTTCTACTACATATTTGCTGTCCATTATTTCTTACCTCAGGTTGTGCCTAATTCTTCTAATTTTAATACAGTTCTTTTACTCTTTGTAATAATAACAATGTTGCATTTCTATTAGCTCCAATTGAATCAGTAAATCATTCTCCAGAAAAAGCTCATTGCTTTACTGAGACTATTAGTACTGATACTTCATGCCACAATAAGATCAGTATTGCCTTTTTTAACACACCAGCTGTCTTCCACTGAGATGCAGGACTCAAAAATGAAAATGCATTGACTATCATTCAGTAGCTGTCATGACATCACATTGAAAATGGCCCACCTTCAGTGTGTAGGTACTGTATTTCCCCACTTTCAGGACTCAAGTCTGGCTAATTAAATTCCCTGAATTCCTTCATAAATGTTACTGTGCTCATGCTCCAGCAGCACATCAAGCCACGCAAACCACACTTCTCCATTCACTTTGATCTAAAATATTGACACAACTTGCTGAATGTTTAAGCCTGTAGCACTCAAAACCTTCTTTACCTCCTCCCTAAAACCCTTCCTGAGATGACCCCTATCCTTACTTCCATTCTAGGACTCAAGTCTAGCTAATCTCTCACACCTCCATGACTCAAGTCCTGCTAATCTCTGCATAATATTCACATCACACATTACTCTCAAATAGAACATCTCCACTACCTCCAGCCTTTTTCTTACTGCAATGTTTAAAACCCATGTCTCACACCCATGTAAAAGTGTTGATACTAATGTATTCTGGTACATTCCCATTTTTTGCCTCTGTTCTGTGGTTCATCTCATGTTTCATAAACCCTTCTGCTGACTTGTCCATACCCAAATGGTATCTAAATACATTCACTTCCTCTTTACTCCCTTCCTCCAGTCTGTTATTACTAATATTACTATGTTATGTAGTTTCCAGAAAGCATTAAACACTGCTAGTTATTTAAAACATTGGTTTGCATTTCACTGTAGGAGTTAAACATCCAGCAGCTTCGCCGACAGATCCATGATCTGACCCACGATGGAAATAACAATGCTGTCAGTGTAGACCAGCAGAAGCATTTGGAACATTTAAGTCTGCGACTTCAGGAGGTTTCTACTACAATTAAGATACTTTCAAAGCAACTTATAATTATGAAGGTTAGTGTCTAAATTTAGACAATTTTTCTTAAACAAAAACATGGTAATTCTATATTGCACTATTATCATGGTTAGAAAATATTGTTTTATTAGCACTGTATGTTAAGGTGGTAGTAGTAGTAGTGGTGGTGGTGGTGGTGGTGGGTGTTCACCGCTACCCTCCCCTCCACACTTAATACAGCAACTCAGTGTCCAGTGTTGACTAGTTTAATGTTGTACAAAGTATGTTTCTTTTAAACCTTTCAAACCAATCTTTATTAATAAAAAAATTGTGGAATAATCCCCTTCTTATTCATTATGTAAGTCACTATTACAAATATCTTAGTAGTTGCTGTATGACCCCTGTGGATTTGTTGCTGTCCTCATGATGGTATACAATACCAAAAAGTTGAAGAATAAGACATATGTGCAATTCTTGTGCATCTTCATTGCTGGAGGGTAAGGTGATGTCACAAGTGATCATGGCCCACTTGTGGAAGTAGATTATGCTAAACATTTCTTTACTAAAGGAGTTGCAGAAGTTTGATACAGCAAGACCAAGATACCTTGGTCTTGCTGTATCAAACAAGCATCATATTATGCTTGTTTGATGGTATACAATATGTACAGAGGCGTCGCTAGAGTTGATGTCACCCGGGGCGGAATCTTTGGTGTCACCACCATGAAATCCCAGGGCGGGGGATAGGGGTAGTAAACTCCAGTTACATCACTGCTGCATGACCAGTGACTAATGTTTAGCAATGAGAACGTTTGAAGGCCATAAACCGAACTTTATTAATGATAAAATAAATAATCATAGTAACATTGAGGAAACATAAACTCAAATACCACTTTGAGTACAGGCAATAGATCCTACATTTATTCATCTTCAACAATAAAAAAAAAAAAAACTTGAGCACAGGTAACATCTCAATGAATCTGATATTTCATTTCTTTGCCTTCAATCTTGCAAAATCATCTATCACATCATCAAAATCAATGTTTTTCCTTATATAGGTCTATTTGTACTCTGTAATCCTATAATAGGCTATATAGCAATGAAAGATTTTTCTCTTAGGTTGCTGCAGCATGGTTTTGGTCACTAGTGTTACCTTCTTTAGAGGCTCTATGGTGTCACCCCCCCACATCCCCCCTTCCTTACGACGCCCCTGAATATGTACCATGTATGTGCAACACTTGGGTTTCAAAATCACAGAATGGGTTGGGCTCTAACCCATGACAATGAAGATGCCTAAATGTTGCACGTATGTTTTAGTCTTTAATTTGCTATGTCTCCTTTCCTCCTATCAGTAAATGGCACTTATTATGTTTTCAGTCTTTTGAAATTTTTTTTTAGCTCTGGGAGCTAGATGATGAGTAAGCAATTGTGAAAGTTTTCTTTGTATTCTTCATAGGTATTGAGTGTAATATACTACTGTACAGTAATGGGAGCAATCCTATTATCTGTCTCAGTGCTGGAGGCAACGATGTTGGCAGACGTAGGAGTGAGGACCTGATTAGCAGGTATAGGTCAGCAATAGAAATAATTAGAAGTAAGGGTGGGAACCCTCTCATATGTGGTATTTTGCCAAGGAGGGGAGTTGGAAATGAATGGTTGTCCAGGGCAATTGGTGTCAATTGCTGGCTGGACAAATAGTGTAAGGAAAATGCAGTAACATTCATTGACAACTGGGACCTCTTCTATGGCAGAAATGACATGTATACTAGGGATGGGGTTCACTTATCTAGGTGTGGGGTGGGAGCACTGGCAACTGCAGTGGAGGGAGCAGTTAGGACTTTAAACTAGGAATAGTTAGTGGTATGGGTTTTGGCAGGAAAGCAGTGAAGTCCCAGTGTAGTAATATTACGAGTTCTAGGGGAACTAGTAATAATAAGAACGAGATAGATATTGAAAAGCCAGGGACCTTGGGTGATAAGGACAGTAATAGGTTTTAGTAGAAAAATAGAAATGAGCAGGAAGGGTAAAGAGAAAGGAGAGTCTTTCAATGTTTATTATGCTAATTGCCGTAGTGCTAGGAATAAGATGGACGAGTTGAGATTAGTTTGCTAGTGTAGGTAACATTGATGTATTTGCCTTAACTGAGACGTGGTTTAATTCAAAAAGTCGGGACATGCCTGCGGAATGTCATATTCAGGGTTTTAAATTGTTCAAGAAGATAGAAGTATTGGGAGGGGGGGTGGGGTGGCATTGTATGTCCGAGATCGCTTGAACTGTTGCATAAAACGGGTATTAAGTCTGAAGTAACACATACAGAGTCTGTTTGGATAGAATTTTCAGAGGGGCGTGAAAAACTGATTTAGGAGTGATATACCGTCCCCCAAACTTAGATAGGGACCAAGGGAAACTACTATGGGAGGAAATTGTTAAGGCCACAAGGCACGATAATGTAGTAATTCTAGGAGACTTTAACTTTAGTCATGTTGATTGAATTTCTTGACTGGGAATTTAGAATCATACGACTTCTTAGAAGTATTTCAGGATTGTTTTTTGAAGCAGTTTGTGACAGAACCTACAAGGGGAAATAACCTGCTTGACTTAGTTATGGCAAACAATGAATCCCTTGTTAATAATTTTGAAATTTCAGAGGAACTGGGTGCTAGCGACCACAAATCAATTACTTTTAATTGAATGGAAGTACGTTAGTACGATAATCAGTAACAGTCCCAGATTTTCGCTAGAAATTTACGAGGGGCTTGAGAACACTTATCTCTTTTTGACGGGGTAACGAAGAGAGCTATCAATAGACAGTTTTCTGAACATGTAATGTGCTCAAAAGGTTTTTCCCCATAAAAAAAATTAATAATAGAAATGCCCCAAAAATGGATGATAATGCTAAAAATACTACAGGGCATAAAAAGGAATTTATACTACAAAAAGGTAGGGATCTTTTAAATCAGTAATTGCATTAAGGGGACATTAAAAAGGGGTAAAAAAAGAAAAAAGGGCTATAAATTAAAGTTGCGGGATTCTAAAACAAACCCCAAAAAAATTTTTTTTCAGGTCTATAGAACAAAAGTTAGAGAAATTGGGCCCCCCTAAAATAATAGGGCCCCTTACTGACAAAGAGAATGAAATGTGCTTGTTTTTTAAAAAATTATTTTCTCTCAGTTTTTACACGGGAAGACATAAAAATTTTCCGAAATTAATTTTTACGTGGGCTAGAAGAAGAAAAATTATGAAACAATCACAGTCCCCATGAAGGGTTGTGGCAGATAGACAACGAAAAAAATAATCCCCGGGGTCCTATGAGGTTTTTCAAGGGGGGTTCTTAAGGAATAAAAATGGAACTCTGTGAACCCTTAACTAATATTTTTAATTTATCTCTTCAAACGGTTAGTGTCTGATATGTGGAAAATGGCTAATGAACTCCCTTTTTTAAACAGGGGCAAATCGTTACCGTCAAATTTCCCCCAAAAGCCGACCTCAATTGAGGGAAATTCTAGAGTCAAATTTTACTGAGATTATAAGAAGCCCCTCTCGATAAGCTAGTTGATTAATATATCAGCATGGATTCACAAGAGGCCGTTTTTTGTTAACTAAATTTTTTAACTTTCTTCAGTAAACTTTTAGGGTGTTGACCCAATAAAGAATTTTTATTATTTCTTAGATTTTAGTAAGGCTTTTTATAAGTTTTCCCCACCATAACGTTTAAAAAAAGTGGGAGCTCTGGCATTGGGGGGAAAAATGCTCTCGGGATCGGTCATGGCTCACTGACAGGAAAAAGAGAGTGTCCTAAATGGGGTTAAATCCAGGGGGATCGTAAAAAGTGGGGTTCCACAGGGATCTTTTGGGGCCCCTTGTTGTTTATAAAATATATCAATGATCTTTTATGAGGGAATTTCTAGTGAATGGCAAATTCGCCGATGACACAAAGAAAGGGAGGATAATTGATTCAAACGTAATGTTGGGAACTTCAGGAGGATTTAAACAAACTCTATCTTGGTCAGAAAGTCAGATGCATTTCAATGTAGATAAATGCAAGGTTCTGAAGTTTGGGGAGTGCCCATAACCCTAGTACTTATAAATTAAATGATGTAGAACTTAGCATACAGATTGCGAAAGGACTTGGGGGTTATGGTGAGCAGCAACCTTAAACCAAGACAGCAATGCCTAAGCGTACGTAATAAGGCAAATAGATTACTGGGAATTTAAAATCAAGAAGTGTAAGCAACAGAAGTCCAGAGGTCATACTGCAGCTTTATACATCATTAGTAAGGCCCCCACCTAGATTTGCAGCTCAGTTCTGGTCTCCGTATTACAAATCACTCTTTGATATTCCTCGTGTCCATCTCACGCTATGCAAAAACTCAATGCACATAAAAGGCCCTAAAATCTGGAATTCATTACCTGTAAATATAAAAGAAACACTACCTGTTTATAAATTCAAGCTCTTCTCAAAGATCACTTACTCACCCAAAACCAAATAAATACTGAATAACTGAACCTTATAAAATTGTATATCTTAAATGTTTTCTCACAATTATATCACATAAATGTTAAACCTAAAACCCAATCTAACTTTATTATTTTTTAAATTCACTACCTAACAGAATACTCCATTCTACTGAATTTACAACAAAGCATGCAACCATATGACCTGTCTTTTTAATACTCACTTGTGCTTTATAGTAATCAGTTTACATTAATGTTTTTCACTGTTTCATCATTTCTTAGTTAATCTTAATTAATTTTAAGCCGCCCGTAATGCTATGCATAGTATAAGTGGCTTTGGCATGCTGCTCTTATCTTATTTTTTTTTGTACCTCTGTAAGTGTGCTCAAATTATAAATAAAAAATAAATAAATAAAAATTTGTTAGAAAACATTCAGCGTAGGGTGACTAAATTAATACATAGCATCAGAAATCTTCCTTATGAAGAAAGATTGAAGACCCTTAAGTTACATTCACTTGTTAGACAAAGAATGAGGGGAACCTGATCGAAGTGTATAAGTGGAAGATAGGTATTAATAAAGGGGATATTAATAAGGCCCTTGAGGATGTCTCTCCAAGAGAGAACGCGCAGTAATGGATTTAAATTAGATAATTTTTAGATTTAGAAAGGACATAGGAAAGTATTGGTTTGGAAATAGGGTAGTTGATGAGTGGAACAGTCTACCTAGTTGGGTTATTGAGGCTGGGACTTTGGGTAGTTTCAAATCTAGGTTGGATAAGTACATGAGTGGGAGGGGTTGGATTTGAGTGGGACTTTCACATCAGAGCTTATTTCTTGGGTGGCACTGAAAATTGGGTTGGGCAAATGTTTTGTTAGTGGGATGAATTGTAAAGGACCTGCCTAGTATGGGCCAGCAGGCCTCCTGCAGTGTTCCTCCTTTCTTATGTTCTTATGTTCTTATTTTAATTTCATTGAAAAGTTGAAATTTGCTTGATATTATTTGGTACATAGTGTACTAATACATGAAACTGCATTTCAGAATACTCGATCTATTGAACAGGCAAATTTGTTGCAGCATGAAAAATATGCTCAGAAACTCGAAGATGATGTAACTGCAGTGAAGATGAGCAGCAAGAATGCTGAAAGGTAAGAGTGAAGTGACTATTTTTGTAGATAGATATTTGTCTGAATGGAACCAAAATATTGATTTTCTTGCATTAACTTAAACCATTATGTTTCTGCAGTCTTGAACATATTTTTCATTTTTATTAACCAGAGTCATTAGCTTACTAACATATAGCTAGTTTTTTTTTCAGGTTAGAAAACAAATGTCTTCAGTAGACTCATTGTTGAATTTCTCAAGTTCACAGAAACTTAAAACTGATTTCCATATTTCTTCATCAGTTTTAACTATATTTTAAGACCCTAACCTGTGGTGCATCAAGTGGTCATAAGTTCATTTTGTTTATTAGTTGTCTTGTCAGTGTAACAGAGAATGTAATTGCAGATATTCTAATACCATGCTAAACATCAATGTATTTGATTGTAAAATCAACCTAAAAAAATCAGAATTTGAGTTGGTGGCCAAATAAAGCATCAGAGAAGGTTGAGCAGGTGTGTGAATGGGGAATCATGTACAGTAACGTATACACAAATAACCCACACATAGGAGGAGGGACCGATCTACTGTGAAACTAATGAAGCTTAAGTTTCAGGGCCACTGATCACTGAGGGGCTCCAGAAGTGACTTTAGTTCACATTGCTTATTAAAAATTTTCAGAATACTGTAGGGGAGGTTTTTTTTTTTTATCTCCTTCACCATCTGTGTCATGGTACTATGGGTTTGAAGTCACTGTCCATGCTGTAGTACTATACCATGAGCTCAGCTCACTCAGATTAAGTAAATAAGTAAGTTTATTCAGGTATACACAAATACAGTTATTTATCATACATAGCAGCATATGTGTAGAGAACCTAGGATAACCCAAAAAAGTCAAAGTGACTTATTTCCATTTGAGCCCAGATATGACAGAATGGGTCTATGTGGTAATTATGCACCATATAAAAAAAATCCTTCAGAATGCAGTGCATAATGGAAAAAAAACTGCAACCGTGTTTTCAGTTTAAAACAGAGACTTTGCGGTGTATTTTTGTATGGTTTTAAGGGTTGTATTCTGTTTCTTGGTCTCATTTGATAGAATGGAAGATATGATTTTGATTAGAAATATCTTGAAATTGAGAGCAAAGTAGCAGAAATGTTTGATTTTTGCTGATATTCCTGAGTACACAAGATTATATCACTCATTCAGTGCGCATCCAGTTGGTCAGTCTAATACATGTTCAAGAATGCACTGACATTATTTATACAATTACTACAATAATGCAGTAGTCTGCATATCAGTAATTTTTTTATTTTTTTGTGAATAAAAATTTGAAATGAAAAGCAAGCATAATATAGGAGAGGCCTAGGGATAAGACTAATGAACAGAAGAACATTTTTTAGTGCCAGGAATGTCTACATTGTTTATTCTGTATCCTATTTTTAAATTGGCATTTTTTTAATTTTGTGAAAATTACCAAATTACCAGTTTCTAATCACTTTGTATAGTAGTTGATACAGGAAAATGGGCATTTTCTTGTATTCAGTCAATAGAATAGAATGAATACTAGCAAAATACCTTTGAGTTTAGTCAACTGAAGCAATGGAATTGGCCAAAAATAAGGCTTAAATTGGGCAAAATCACCAATGTGTAAATATCGTTGAAACCTTTAAGTTTTCCATCAAATTTTGTACTTTTGGCTTCATTACCTTTGAAAAAAAATTCTTTATCATTTCATAAGAAAAATACCTTTTTTTAATTTCACACTGAAAGGGTGAAAGAATAATAATAATAATGTAGTATAATTTAATACAGTAGTTAAAATAAAAATTAAAAGGTTATTAAAGTATCATGTAGGCTAGCCATTGCTGGTTGCTAAGGGGTCCTCATAACAGTTCAAGCTTCAGGGCCCCAAAAATGTGGGTCCACTACTGCATAGGAAAGAGAAGCTTGTGACAACGTTTTGGTCTGACTTGGACTATTTACAAAGTCACACTAACACAAAAGAGTGAGGGAGCCAGTATACATAGGAGAGGGGAGACATGGATGGGACCAAAAGAGGAAGAAGAAGTAGTGGTAGTGGTAAGGCTGGTAGTGGAAGAAGTAGTAGTAGAAGTAATACTGGTAGTAGAGAATAGGGAGAGTAGTTTAGTGGCACAAGAAAGAAAGGGAAATGAAGGGAGGCAAAAGTAATGGTAGTAGCAATAGTATTAGAAATGGAATGGTAGTTGTAGTAGTAGTAGAAGTTGGGTCAGTCTAAGAACAAGAAAAAGGTATAATAATACATAATAATAATACCTTTATTTCTACAAGTACATGTACAAGGTATTTAGACCTAGCTGACATCAATGTTTTTCATGTACAGTATATTTGATCATTGTTGTAATGAGGTCACTGGCATTTAAAAAATTGCCTATTGAAAATATTCTTTTAGCGATCTCTCTTTTTATACACTATGTGAACTTTCCAGAGAACGGGCAAAACTAGCTAATAGTTGTGAAGAGCTATTGGTGGATGTGAGTTTAACACAGCTTCATCTCCAACAACGAATGGCACAGCTGCAAACTGTTGTCAACAAGATATCCAGACTCTCACAAGACAAGATAGATATGGAAAAGGTTTGAAGTATATTATCTTACTGTGATAACATTGATTATGTATACACTATATTAGAATAATAATAACAATAATAATATACAAACTCATAATATATAATATATACACTCATCTGAGTTTTCTTTGATTTTATCTTAATAGTTCTTGGTCTTATTACTTTTCCTTTTATATCCATGGGGAAGTGGAATAAGGATCTTTCCTCCGTAAGCCATGCGTGTTGTAAAAGTCAACTAAAATGCCGGGAACAGTGGGCTAGTAACCCCTTTTCCTGTAAAGATTACTAAAAAGAATAAGAAGAAGAAAATTGTCAAAGTGGGAAGTCTGAATGTGCGTGGATGTTGTGCAAATGATAAGAAAGAGATAATTGTGGATGTTATAAATGAGAAGAAGCTGGATGTCCTGGCTTTAAGTGAAACAAAGCTGAAGGGGGTGGGAGAGTTTCAATGGAGAGGAATAAATGGGATTAGGTCAGTGGTTTCAAATAGAGTTAGAGCTAAAGAAGGAGTAGCAATAATGTTGAAGGATAAGCTATGGCAGGAAAAGAGGGACTATAAATGTATTAATTCAAGGATTATGTGGAGTAAACTAAAGATTGGATGTGAAAAGTGGGTTATAATAAGCGTGTATGCACCTGGAGAAGAGAGAAGTGTAGAGGAGAGAGAGAGATTTTGGGAATGTTGAGTGAATGCGTGGGGAGTTTTGAATCAAGTGTGAGGTAATGGTGGTTGGGGATTTCAATGCTAAAGTGGGTAAAAATGTTATGGAGGGAGTAGTAGGTAAATTTGGGGTGCCAGGGGTAAATGTAAATGGGGAGCCTTTAATTGAGCTATGTGTAGAAAGAGATTTGGTAATAAGTAATACATATTTTATGAAAAGAGGATAAATAAATATAAAAAGGTATGATGCAGCACATAATGAAAGTAGTTTATTAGATTTATGTATTGGTGGATAAAAGGTTGATGGGTAGGCTCCAGGATGTAAAATGTTTATAGAGGGGCAACTGATATATCGGATCATTATTTAGTTGTAGCTACAGTTAGAGTAAGAGGTAGATGGGAAAAGAGGAAGGTGGCAACAACAAGTAAGAGGGAGGTGAAAGTGTATAAACTAAGGAGGAGGAAGTTCGGGTGAGATATAAATGACTTTTGGGCAGAAAGGTGGGCTAATGCAAAGATGAGTAGTGGGGGGGTTGAAAGAGGTTGGAATAGTTTTAAAAATGCAGTATTAGAATGTGGGGCAGAAGTTTTGGTTATAGGAAGGGTGGGGGCAGGAGGAAAGAGGAGTGATTGGTGGAATGATGAAGTAAAAGGGTGTGATAAAAGAGAAAACGGTAGCTTATGAGAGGTTTTTACAAAGCAGAAGTGTTATAGAAAGAGCAGAGTTTTATGGAGAAATAAAGAAAGGTAAAGAGAGTGGTGAGAGAGTGCAAAAGGAGAGCAGATGATAGAGTGGGAGAGGCACTGTCAAGAAATTTTAATGAAAATAAGAAAAAAAATTTGGAGTAAGTTAAACAAGTTAAAAAGCCTAGGGAAAGTATGGATTTGTCAGTTAAAAACAGAGTAGTGGAGTTAGTAGATGGGGAATGGAGGTATTAGGTAGATGGCGAGAATATTTTGAGGAACTTTTAAAATGTTAAGGAAGAAAGAGAGGCAATAATTTCATGCACTGGTCAGGGAGGTATAAAACCCTCTTTTTAGGAGTGAAGAAGAGCAGAATGTAAGTGTGGGGGAGGTACGCGAGGCATTACGTAGAATGAAAGGGGTAAAGCAGCTGGAACTGATGGGATCATGACAGAAATGTTTAAAAAACAGGGGGGGGGGATATAGTGTTGGAGTGGTTGGTACTTTTGTTTAATAAATGTATGAAAGAGGGAAGGTATCTAGGGATTGGGAGAGAGCATATATAGTCCCTTTATATAAAGGGAAAGGGGACAAAAGAGACTAAAAATTATAGAGGAATAAGTTTACTGAGTATACCAGGAAGTGTACGGTAGGGTTATAATTGAAAGAATTAGAGGTAAGACAGAATGTAGGATTGCGGATGAGCAAGGAGGTTTCCAGAGTGGGTAGGGGATGTGTAGATCAAGTGTTTACATTGAAGCATATATGTGAACAGTTTTTAGATAAAGGTAGGAAGTTTTTATTGCATTTATGGATTTAGAAAAGGCATATGATAGAGTGGATAGAGGAGCAATGTGGCAGATGTTGCAAGTATATGGAATAGGTGGTAAGTTATTAAATGCTGTAAAGAGTTTTTAATGAGGATAGTGAGGCTCAGGTTAGGGTGTGTAGAAGAGAGGGAGACTACTTCCCGGAAAAAAGTAGGTCTTAGACAGGGATGTGTAATGTCACCATGGTTGTTTAATATATTTATAGATGGGGTTGTAAAGGAAGTAAATGCTAGGGTGTTTCGGGAGAGGGGTGGGATTAAATTTTGGGGAATCAAATTCAAAATGGGAATTGACACAGTTACTTTTTTGCTGATGATACTGTGCTTATGGGAGATTTTAAAGAAAAATTGCAAAGGTTAGTGGATGAGTTTGGGAATGTGTGTAAAGGTAGAAAGTTGAAAGTGAACATAAAAAAACAGTAAGGTGATGAGGATATCAAATGAATTAGATAAAGAAAAATTTGATATCAAATTGGGGAGGAGGAGTATGGAAGAAGTGAATGTTTTCAGATACGTACTTGGGAGTTGACGTGTCGGCGGATGGATTTATGAAGGACAAGGTTAATCATAGAATTGATGAGGGAAAAAAGGTGAGTGGTGCGTTGAGGTATATGTGGAGTCAAAAAACGTTATCTATGGAGGCAAAGAAGGGAATGTATGAAAGTATAGTAGTACCAACACTCTTTTATTGGTGTGAATCTTGGGTGGTAAATGCAGCAGCGAGGAGACGGTTGGAGGCAGTGGAGATGTCCTGTTTAAGGCAATGTGTGGTGTAAATATTATGCAGAAAATTCGGAGTGTGGAAATTAGGAAAAGGTGTGGAGCTAATAAAAGTGTTAGTCAGAGAGCAGAAGAGGGGTTGTTGAGGTGGTTTGGTCATTTAGAGAGAATGGATCAAAGTAGAATGACATGGAAAGCATATATATCTACAGGGGAAGGAAGGTGGGGGTAGGGTCATCCTCGAAAGGGTTGGAGAGAGGGGTAAAGGAGGTTTTGTGGGCAGGGGCTTGGACTTCCAGCAAGCGTGCATGAGCGTGTTAGATAGGAGTGAATGGAGACGAATGGTACTTGGGACCTGAAGATCTGTTGGAGTGTGAGCAGGGTAATATTTAGTGAAGGGATTCAGGGAAACCGGTTATTTTCATATAGTTGGACTTGAGTCCTGGAAATGGGAAGTACAATGCCTGCACTTTAAAGGAGGGGTTTGGGATATTGGCAGTTTGGAGGGATATGTTGTGTATCTTTATATGTGTATGCTTCTAAACTGTTGTATTCTGAGCACCTCTGCAAAAACAGTGATAATGTGTGAGTGTGGTGAAAGTATTTTCTTTTTGGGGATTTTCTTTCTTTTTTTGGGTCACCCTGCCTCGGTGGGAGATGGCCGACTCTTGAAAAAAAAAAAAATCTTTATTTCTACAAGTACATGTATAAGGTATACAGGCCTAGCTGACATCAGTGACATGCTGCTATATAGACAGCCCCTTCTTATGCAGCATTTCGGGAAAATTAGCTCAATTTTGTCCCCAGGATGCAATCAACACCAATCGACTAACACCCAGGTACCCATTTTACTGATAAGTGAACATGGATGGTAGGTATCTTAAGGAAACACATCCTAATGTCTCCAGCCATACTGGGGATCAATCCCAGACCTAGAGATTGAGAATTCAGTATGAAGGAAATTTGTGAAGCACTGACAAGTTTAAATGTGGGAGAAGCTGTATGAGACTGGGATTAAGACATATGGTAGAAGTTGGAAGTAGGTTGGGGGTAAAAGCTTGGAATGACTGCTGCATTTCTTCAAAGTAATTACCTGTATAGTGCTTGAACTCTAAAGGAGGGATTTGGGAAATTTGCTGTTTGGGGGGGACATCTGAACTGTCATATCTGTGTGCCTCTGAAAAGACAGTGATAGTGTGAATGATGGTTAAAGTGTTTAGTTTTAGGGTCACTCTGCCTTGGTGGGAGACAGCCAGCAGGTTAAAAAAAAATAATGTATTTTGCTTAGAAAATATTTTAGTTGTTTTTCACGATAATTATTTTTTCTTTCAGTTAGTATCAGAGCAGATTAGCAGTGTGAAGATCCGTATCGATGAAGCGGACATGAATCTAAGGGGCCTAAGCAGTGAGATGCACCGTTTATCTCTACAGTTGCATGAAGTTTCCACCAGAATCCTTCAGCTGAAAGACAAGTATGTATGATTATATCAGTATGATCCTCCATGATGTTGTATATTGCAACATATCTGGTAAGTTTTATAAGTGATACAGCTATTGAATGAATTTTTTTTTTTTTCAACAAGTCAGCCGCCTCCCACCGAGGCAGGGTGACCCAAAAAAGAAAGAAAATCCCCAAAAAGAAAATGCTTTCATCATCATTCAACACTTTCACCACACTCACACATAATCACTGTTTTTGCAGAGGTGCTCAGAATACAACAGTTTAGAAGCATATATGTATAAAGATACACAACATATCCCTCCAAACTGCCAATATCCCAAACCCCTCCTTTAAAGTGCAGGCATTGTACTTCCCATTTCCAGGACTAAAGTCCGACTATATGAAAATAACCGTTTTCCCTGAATCCCTTCACTAAATATTACCCTGCTCACACTCCAACAGATCGTCAGGTCCCAAGTACCATTCGTCTCCATTCACTCCTATCTAACAACGCTCACGCAACGCTTGCTGGAAGTCCAAGCCCCTTGCCCACAAAACCTCCTTTTACCCCCTCTCATCCAACCCTTTCCGAGGACGACCACCCCTACCTCGCCTTCCTTCCCCTATAGATTTATATGCTTTCCATGTCATTCTACTTTGATCCATTCTCTCTAAATGACCAAACCACCTCAACAACCCCTCTTCATACCCCTCTGACTAATACTTTTATTAACTCCACACCTTTTCCTAATTTCCACACTCCGAATTTTCTGCATAATTATTTACAACCACACATTGCCCTTAGACAGGACATCTCCACTGCCTCCAACCGTCTCCTCGCTGCTGCATTTACCACCCAAGCTTCACACCCATATAAGAGTGTTGGTACTACTATACTTTCATACATTCCCTTCTTTGCCTCCATAGATAACGTTTTTTGACTCCACATATACCCTAATGCACCACTCACCTTTTTTCCCTCATCAATTCTATGATTGACCTCATCCTTCATAAATCCATCCGCCGACACGTCAACTCCCAAGTATCTGAAAACATTTACTTCTTCCATACTCCTCCTCCCCAATTTGATATCCAATTTTTCTTTATCTAAATTGAATGAGTTATAGTATATGCTAAATGTATTCCATTTTTGGGTCACCTTGTCTTGGTAAGAAATGGCCAAGTTGATCAAATAATCTGTGATGATGGAAAAATAACTATGAAGATAACACAGCATGTGCTGAGAGAAAGCAGCATTATTTGGGATGCATGGCTGGTAAACATTACTACTACCCTGTATGTATTGTAATAATAATCAGTGATGTACAGCAATAAGAAGCTTTAACAAATAGCACATTGTTTCAACATATGGAGGTTTCAGTAGTACTGACGAGTTTGTGTTTATATTACAGGCATACAAAAGTAAAATGCAGCATTGACACTTCAGAAGGAGATGAAGTAATATCTACTGCTCATGTTTTTCTTAAGGTATGATAACGCATTGTAAAGAATACATGCTCGTGTATCCCATGTCATTGTTCTAATACTGAAAAGTATTTGTAGTATCCTTTTGGCATCTTTTTGTTTTTTTAGTTTACAGCTGTAGTCTCTTGTATATAGTTAATTTACCCCATCCTAATACCTCTGAATCAAGCTAGTGTAAATGTTGGGTGTGTTTGCTCATCATGAGTACATGTGAACCTGCCCGGCTGGGGCAGTTCGCTAAAATCTTGTAATGTATATTGGGTACAGATTGATTTAATGCAAATAGGATGTCACTGTCACTTCAAATAGGATGTCACTGTAGATAGTAGAAGAAAATTATAACTCGTTTAAGTTTCATTAATTCTGAATAACAATCTATTTACCCAATACTCTTTTAACTCTCTCACTACAATTATTTTTTCATTGTGCAGGTTGCTAGTGAGCGTGCAGGCTTGCAGGAGACAGGAGATCTGCTGGATTTAGAAGTGAGAAAAGCAGAAGAAGAGGTGGAAGCTTTACAGCAAATGGTAGCACTAATCAGCATTGAAGGACAACAGTACCGCTCACAGTTGCATGATATTCTCTATCACAGTAAGTTCTAAGCGTGGAAACAATTATTTCTGTACTCTGTTGTTAATGACTTCATGTTTACAGGTGCTTCTTGACTTACGATGGGGTTACATTCTAACCGACCCATTGTAAGTTGACAGTATCTTAAGTCAAATGTGACATGTTAAAAAAAACTAAGTTAATAATTACTGTCACTGAACAAGTAAATAAACAAATAATTACTGTAACTAAATACCAATATTAGTAAGTAAGTAAGTAAGTAGTATGAATGAATGAATACAAGTTATGGAAATGGAAATCTTTTAGGAGTGAAGAAGAGCAGGATGTGAGTGTGGGGGAGGTGCATGAGGCATTATGTAGAATGAAATGGGGTAAAGCAACTGGAACTGATGGGATCATGACAGAAATGTTAAAAGCAGGGGGAAATACAGTATTGGAGTGGTTGGTATTTTTGTTTAATAAATGTATAAAAGAGGGGAAAGTACCTAGAGATTGGCAGGGAGCGTGTATAATTCCTTTATATAAAGGGACAGGGGACAAAAGAGATTGTAAAAATTATAGGGGAATAAGTTTACTGAGTATACCAGGAAAAGTGTATGGCAGGGTTACATATTATTAGAAGAATTAGAGGTAAGACAGAGAGCAGGATTGAGGATGAGCAGGGAGGCTTTAGAATGGGTAGGGGATGTGTAGATCAGGTGTTTATATTGAAGCGTATATGTGAACAGTATTTAGATACAGGTAGGGAAGTTTTATTTGCATTTATGAATTTAGAAAAGGCATATGATAGAGTGGATAGGGGAGCAATGTGGCAGATGTTAGAAGTGTGTGGAATAGGTAGTAAGTTACTAAATGCTGTAAAGAGTTTTTATGAGGATATTGAGGCTCGGATTAGAGTGTGTAGGAGAGAGAGATTACTTCCCAGTAAAAGAAGGTCTTAGACTGGGATGTGTAATGTCACCATAGTTGTTTAACATATTTATAGATTGGGTTGTAAAGGAAGTAAATGCTAGGGTGTTGGGGAGAGGGGTGGGATTAAATTATGGGGAATCAAATACAGAATGGGAGTTGACACAGTTACTTTTTGCTAATGATACTCTGCTTTTGGGAGATTCTAAAGAAAATCTGCTAAGGTTAGTAGATGAGTTTGGGAAGGTGTGTGAAGGTAGAAAGTTGAAAGTGAATATAGTTAAGGGTAAGGTGATGGGGGTATCAAACGATTTAGACAAAGAAAAATTGGATATCACATTGGAGAGAGGGAGTGTGGAGGAAGTGAATGTTTTTAGATATTTGGGAGTTGACTTGTCAGCAGATGGGTTTATGAAAGATGATGTAAACCATAGAATTGATGAAGGAAAACAGGTGAGTGGTGCATTGAGGTATCTGTGCAGACAAAGAACATTATCCATGGAGGCAAAGAAGGGAATGTACGAGAGTATAGTGGTACCAACACACTTATATGGGTGTGAAACATGGGTTGTAAATTCTGCAGCGAAGAGGCGGCTGGAGGCAGTGGAGATGTCATGTCTAGGGGCAATGTGTGGTGTAAATAGTATTATGCAGAGAATTCGTAGTGTGGAAATTAGAAGGAGGTGTGGAGTTACTAAAAGTATTAGTCAGAGGGCTGTAGAGGGGCTGTTGAGGTGGTTTGGTCATTTAGAGAGAATGGAGCAAAGTAGAATGACTTGGAGAGCATGTAAATCTGTTGGGGAAGGGAGGCAGGATAGGGGTTGTCCCCAAAAAGATTGGAGGGAGGGGGGTAAAAGAGGTTTTGTGGGCGAGGGGCTTGGACTTCCAGGAAGCGTGTGTGAGCATGTTAGATAGGAGTGAATGGAGACGAATGGTTTTTGGGACCTGACGAGCTGTTGGAGTGTGAGCAGGGTAATATTTTGTGAAGAGATTCAGGGAAACCAGTTAGCCGGACTTGAGTCCTGGAAATGGGAAGTATAATGCCTGCACTTTAAAGGAGGGGTTTAGGATATTGGCAGTTTGGAGGGATGTCTAAACTGTCTTATCTGAGCACCTTTTGCAAAGACAGTGATTATGTATAAGTGATGGTGAAAGTGTTGAATGAAGATGAACTTTTTTCTTTCTTTTTGGGTTTTTCTTTCTTTTTGGGTCACCCTGCCTCGGTGGGAAATGGCCAACCTGTTAAAAACAAAAGTTATGGACTTGCCGCCTTCATCCTGGGTAATTATCTCAAGTTTCATCTCCAAAATAATTGTATTTGGGCCATCATAAAGTCAAAATATCGTAAGTCGAACCATCATTAGTCGAGGAGCACCTGTATATTGATTTAAATACTGCTAGACAGATTATCCATATTATGTATTGTAATTTCATACAAAAATGTATACATATAGTTTTCTTCATATTAATTTAATCTAATTTACTTATACTAATTTGAAGTACCTGTAACATCTTACTCTAAGCAACTGGTTTGGAAACACAGTAGCTTGTTAATGCATACTTTGAGGTAGGACATATGCTGAGCTTACTTTTAGCCAAGAAAGTGCTCTCCTGTTTTAGGTTATACTGATTAATAGTGTACTGTATTGTTATATGCATGGAAAACACTAAACATATGTAACTCATTCATTGATACACAGCAAGGTTGAGAGAAACAGTACAGGGAGGTAGGTGGTGTGTAGGGAAGGACATCATAGCAGAAAGGATTGATACAGGGGTTTACAGTTGATATAGCAAATTGATGTCATTTAAAATTATAGAGAAAATTGCTGTTGCCGGTGTACAAGAGACGATAGTATGTCAGGGCACTGAGGAAATTTCTTGTTAACCATATGTTCCAGCAATTTGCAGATAGAGGTCAGTAAGGGGATGGATTGCATCCCATTGACCAAGACTGCTGCAGTTTACAATTGAAGGGATAAAATTCAAACCAGATCCAATTAAAGAGTTTTAGCAGAAAATTCAATACTGAAGGGTGCAAGAGATACAGTGTTCAGATATGTACTTCATCTGGCAAACTCATGAGGGCAGTGCCCATTTAGTCTTCAGTTACTGCCACCCTGGTATAGGATACCCCTGACAGCATGGCTCAAGACATTTCTAAAGACAGTGATCCTCTGTTATGCTGTCACAGTATTGCCTGGCAGGAAGTGTTACAGTTTGCAACTGAAAAAGACTAGAGTTGGCTATATGGTAGTGAACTTGTACTCAACCTTGTTACATCAGACAGCTGCATCTCATGTAGAAAAAAATGATGTGACTCATTTTTGTAATAAAATTAAACTGTTTATTCATGGCAACAGGTGAGGAAGAAAAAGAAAGAGTAGTTCTAGAGGAGAAGCTTGCAGCATTGGAGGATGAAATCTTGGTGTGGCAAACCTTGTTGCAACAGGCACAGAAAGACTTGCAGGTAATGTAGTACTGTATCTGTCAGTGATTATTTTATTTCCTTTCATTTTTGACAAAAAATATTGTGACCCAATACTTGTTCGCAATTTCACCATTCACTGATTAAAACTTTTCAGGCACAAATTTGTGTTATGTTTTATGAGGGCAGTGGATTTCTTGGCAATTTTACCACATGCCCATATATTATAGAGAAAATTACATATAAACAAAAAATCATAAATATCACCTTTCCTACATAAAAAACTGCCGCTCTCAGTTAGTCAGGTACTACAGATAGTCGTCAGCTTATGACTGGGTTAGGTTCCGACCGACTGGTTATAAGTTGAGTTGGACATAAGCCGGATAGGCATTGTAATTACTTAATTTATAATCTTTATATCACCTTTTTTCTTTATTTTTTTTATCTTAGAAAAGATTTATATGTACATGTATACTACTACAATATTTTGAGTTGTGGTCTACCTTCAGTTTTTCATGCTATTTCTTTGCCCAGGGTACCCAGGATAGGCTACACGAGGTGGAATTGCAAGTGCATGCTGTGGAGGAACTTTTACGAGAAAAGAATATACATATGACTGCAGTTCAACGTGAGATTGAAATTCAACACACTAAAGCTCGACATGCTACTCAGGCAGTCTCAAATCTTCAGTGGAGAACCAGAAGAAAATCTTTACAACAGGTATATTTGTATTATTTCAGTTAGCAGAATTGCACACATAAACTGTGTTTGTCACTCATTATGAAAATTTTAAACAGTCAGAATAGTCTAGACCATAATAACTTAAAACATTCTCTGATTTTCTTTATCACTTATGAGCTCAGAATGTTAATAAGACACCCCAGCAAGCACCTGGAGTATACCTGGAGAGTATTCTGGGGTGCCCCGGTGGCCTGGTGGCTAAAAGCTCCCGCTTCACACACGGAGGGCCCGGGTTCGATTCCCGGCGGGTGGAAACATTCCGACACGTTTCCTTACACCTGTTGTCCTGTTCACCTAGCAGCAAATAGGTACCTGGGTGTTAGTCGACTGGTGTGGGTCGCATCCTGGGGGACAAGATTAAGGACCCCAATGGAAATAAGTTAGACAGTCCTTGATGATACACTGACTTTCTTGGGTTATCCTGGGTGGCTAACCCTCCGGGGTTAAAAATCCGAATGAAATCTTATCTTATCTTATCTTAACACCTCTGTGGCCCAGTCCATGACCAGGCCTCGCAGTGGATCAGGGCATGATCAAGCAGGCTGTTACTTCCAGCTGTATGCAAATCCCCTGAGCCTAACCGGGATAATTTGACTTCTATGTGACCTCTCAAATGCCATGTACACAGAAAAATGGTACCTGTAATCAATTAAATAATGTTAGTAACTCTAGCATTTACCCTAGGGGGTCGCTATATTTTCTGGGGTTTCCCTAACTAGTCTTAATATACATATACGTACACTAAAAAGTTACTAGCTTCTGGACTAAATACTCAAGGGATGATTTACTTAGCAATCTTGTCTGCTATGTACCCTAGTTTGGGCTCTTGGTCCACTCATAACCCATAGGTAAATTACCCCTGTGTTCCCCAAAATAATTACGGCCACCTATTATTAAAGTGAAAATGATCAGTAATCTCTTGGATGGGAGCCTAGTGTATTCATACACTCCTGGAATGCCTCTACTTCTTTTTGTTGGTTGCCAGGTGAGTATTTTGTAAGCATAGGAGGTCAAGCTCAGGTGAACTCTCTTGTTCCTCAATCCACCACTGCACAGTGAACAACATTCTTTGTCTCCACAAACTCTTCAGTGCACCCAACCACTTTTTTCTCTTTGTCAGTTCTATGGGTCACCTCATCTTTTATAGACCTGTCTGCCGATAAGTCCACTTTCAGATATCTTAACACATTCACTTCCTCCATACTCCCTCCTTTCAAACTGATATCTAATCTTTCATTACCTAAATTTTTATTACTCTAGTCACCTTGCTCTTTCCTATGAAATACTCTTTTAAATTCTTCTACCAACTTTTGCAAATTCTTTTCATTTATGTATGTATATATGTATACATATATTGTATATATAGAGAACTAGTATAATACCTAAACTTCTAGCACAGAATGCTCCAGGAGGGAGTGCCCCTCCCCCCACATGATGTTGAAGGGGTTTTGATCCCCAAAAATTAAATTGTTACCTCCTTCCTTAGATCATACCTGATTACCTCCCATTCCCAAGGAACTATATGATCTCTAAAGGTGTAGTACATCTACTTTCCTCTGAATTTAATAATAACACACAGCAAGTTTATCGCTTTTATCATAACTTTGACTTATTACCAGAGATTTCTTAAGAAAGATTATGCACTGCATGTCTAACCCTTACAATCTGTTCAGTAAGTTTTCTTGATGCATCTTTGTACTTTTAACTCACCCTTTTCAGTATGACATAGAGTTGCGATTAGCACAAGAACGCCTGCGTATGATCAATTCTCTGCTTGGTGATGCTGTGTCATTCCATCCAGAAGCAAGTGAAGCCGTTGTCATATATTGTCAGCAAGTTAACATTCCTCCCCCTGATGTGACAAAGCTAACCAAGAAGGAATCATTTGGATCCAGGTAGAAGTATTTTTTCTTTTATATAACATAATCTACATTCATCACTTTGAGCCACAAGAATATTTAATGAAAATGGCATGTAAGTGACTAGGGATGCAACAGCAAAAAGATTGACAGTATTAATAAAAAAGTGTTAGTGCTAACATAGATCCTTGTGGCACTTTCATTAATTAGGAGAAAAATAAATGAGAAGCCCTCACACATTACCTATATAATGCAACAAGACACAAGAGGTGAAAATAAAAGAATGAATTGATCATACCTTCCTGTCATCTTTACTCTGTTCATTCTCTTCTAAGATATACTGGCATACTAATCTCCCAGGCACTAATGCAATGGAATTTCTATTTGTACAATAAAGACCCCACTGCATTAAATGCCTTCGTACTACTTGTCAGCATCATGCTTCTTTGGGGTATATATCTATCAAGTTGCTGTAGTGCAATCTTATCCTTATCTGGTCTATTTATTTGTGCTTAAATTCATTATAAATCATCAGTACTTTAATGTGTATTCATCTCATGTACAGTAATTGAGATTAATCAGTATTTTTGGATTCACCATATTGACAATTTTGTTTACAGATCAAGCATTGGAACTTTACAGTCTTCAAGAAGCAGCAGCATCAGTCATCCAAGAAGTATATCTCCTGATGCAGCATCCTGGAAATCTCCCACTCACCATTTATCCTTGTCATCACTTCAGTCTGAGGATTCAGGACGAAGTGGATCACCTCATCATGCCAGTGCAAAGACCAAAAGTAGCAGTGGAATTCAAGGAGCAGGCGTGAAGCATATGCCTAAGCCCAAAATAACAGTTTTGAACCCCAGTTAGTACAGTATTTTTTAATTTAATTTTGTCTTAACCCTTTCAGGGTCCAGAGGCCAAATTTCAAAGTGTGCACTAGGGTCCAAGAATTTTCAAAAAATAATTTTGTTATTTTTTCTTATGAAATGGTAGAGAATCTTTTTCTGAAGGTAATAAAACAAAAAGTACGAAATTTGATGGAAAATTGACAAAATTATGCTCTTGCAAATTTTGATGTGTCAGCGATATTTACGCATCGGCGATTTTGCCGACTTTCACTCCCATTTTAGGCCAATTACATTATTCCAGTCGACCAAATTCTTAGCTATTTCACTAGTATTACTTCTATTCTATCGATTGAGCACAAGAAATCGCCAAGTCAACTGTTTCAACTACAAAATAAAGTGATCGGAAATTGGTAATTTGACCAATTTAATGCAAAGTTCAAAATATTCCAATTTCAAAATAGGGTCCAGAATAAACAATGCAGGCATTCCTGGCACTAAACTAACATTTCCTCTGTTCATTAGTTACGTTTTCAGGCTTTACAAGTGAATTCCATTTTGATTTTTTATTCACATAATGAATTTTTATTCAAACCAAAAAATAGAAGATTTACTGTTATGCAATATTGTAATAATTGTATAAATAATATCACCACATTTGTGAACATATATTAGACCCACTAGCTGGTGTGTATTAGACGTGTGAGGTCATTTGTTTACTCTTGAACATCGGCAAAAATTTAACATTTCCACTACTTTGAGCTCAGTTTCAAGCCATTTCTAGTATTAAAACCAATCAAAATCATCTCTATTTCTATAATATATCTTCCATTCTATCAAATGAGACCAAGAAATCGCAAATGCAGCTATAAAAAAACATACGAAAAAACACTGCAAAGTAGCTGTTTTAATAAAAAATTACGGTCTCAGTTTTTTCTCTCATTATGCACTATGTGCTGCAGGATTTGTTTTATGTGGTGCACACATACCACATAGATGTATTCTCTCATATCTGGGCCCAAATTTACCGCTCACAGCTTATCAGAGTGAGGTGAGCTCATGGCGTAGATCTACGGTTTGGACCCTCAACGTAAAGCCATAGATCTACGGCACAGACCCTGAACAGGTTAAGCTTATTTGAAATTAGTTAAATTTCTTGGAAAATCTAAAGGGCATTTCTTTGTTGAAGATCTCTGAACCACTAGTGAAACAGCAAGCTGTTGGTAGATCACTTTATATCAGTAACAAACTTTGTGATCACTTTTCACACAGCCAGCCCTCAGGGTGTTACAATTAGGAGGGTCACTGAATTGTGATGTCTGTGCATGTCTAGCATGAGTGCTGTGGAATGCTTGACAGTGAAAGTTTCCTTCTTTAGTCCACCCTACCTTAGTGGGAGATAGATAGTGTGGGAAAATAATTGTGATTTGTTTTTTTATGAAATCATAATGTACCTAGACAACAAACCTTGTTTAGGAGCTTTGATCACAGTGGTGGGAAATGATGTCATCATTACAACACACATTCTTCCTGAGAGTTGAAAATAGGTCCCATACTTTTTCAGATAATCTGAACCATCTCACTGTCTAAATTATTACCAGTGTCTTACTCTATAATTCTTTCAAAAATATTACAAGTTTGCTATTTTGTGTTGTATTTCTAATGTTAATAAAAGTATCATTTTCCTTTTTTTTTTTCAGGTTTTCCTGCCAGAGAGCTAAAGAGGCATCAGTACCAAGGAAGGAAGCTCTTAAAAAGGCCAACTGTTCATTTATAAACTGTTTTATTATTAATTATAATCAAGAAAAGATAGAATTTCCAGAAGTATCCAGTACTGTATTTTATCATGGAGATTATTTAATTTTGCACATCTACTCTTTATACTGTTTATGTATTTTAATTAGCTAAAGTAATATTTGTTTTCTTAAACTAATTGGGAAATCCCTCCTACGTGTTATGCTGTGTACCAATAAGGTACGGTAAGTTAACTTTCTTAAGCATAATGCTAGCCCAGTTTCATGCTTAGAATTAGTACATTATTTACAAGAGTGTAATTGAGATTTCTTGGCTTTGGCAGGTAAATATTGAAAGTACGTACTGTATTGTGTGAAGTTACCAATGGGATGATAATTTTTGCCTCAGCATTTCAGCCATAATAACAGTGCATATATATGTTGATGTCTTGACTTGGTATTTCTTTAATTATTTAGATTTGTTAATATTTATTAAGGTAGGTGTTTAAGTTTTCTTTGTTTTTTGTGTTGAGTATTTGTTTTTCATTGACATTTCACAGTGCAGTACATTGCATTTATGTGGTAACTTGGTATTATTTTAATTTATGTGATGTCTGATTAATGTTATGTGGGTGCTATTGTTTTTAATTTTGCTCCCTTTTTATTGAGTTTTGTTTCTATTGAATATCTGTTTGGGTTTTATTATTTTGGTTATCATTCCATTGTCACTTTTGGTCCTAGTTTCTTCAGAATTTTACAATCCTCCTTCCTTCGTTCCATCTTACACCAGCAATTATTCGATATTGTATATTCTTTCAAATTAAGTACACTAAGATTTTTCTTAAAAATAGATATTACTCATTTAATATAACCTAATACCTTGATTAAAATTGCCTGAGAGATGACATAACACACTACATTACTGGCAACCTATTTTATTTCAAAGGGGGCATACTGCCTTCCTCTCACTCATTTTGAGGCATGAGAAAGGAAGCAAAGTGTAATTGCTTTCAGATATGGCTTGCCTTAGATATTTGGGGAGAGATAGATTTAAGTTATATTTGGATATTTCCTGCTAAATTGGCTGAGGCAGTTGAAGATTTTCAGGCTTCATTGTTTGGGCAAAGTGTTGATGTTAAACGTATAGGCACGTTTTTGGCAAACATTTGAAATTCAGGCTTAATGTAGTAATTTATAGCACTTTTTGCCTAGTCAGACTGTATTGATTTATTAATTTAGATTTAAGCTCGTATGGTCATTAGGAGTACATTTTGCCTAAGGTCCTATTTAAATTTATATATTAAGGCAGACCTACCACCAATTATCGTTGTATTTTCATCCACATAAATAAAAACTAAATTTTAAACATGCTTGTATGATTCTTTATTCATGGTGATATATATGTCTGGAGAATGTTTATATTCACATGTTGTTAAAGGCATCAATAACTCCTACCATGCATGTCCAACATCTGAGGAATGCCAAAGCAAATGTCTGCTTGCAACACTGGCTACTTTTGCACATTTTAAGTACACATGAATTACATGTAGCTGTAAAAAATTAGCAATCTTCTCTTTGAGATTCAAAACTTAAAAAAAAATTGCAAAAGCAACTAGCGGCATTATCAGCTGAGGGAGTTATTGATTTTTTTTAACATACTGGCCATCTCTAACCAAGGCAGGTCACCGAAGAGGAGAAACACTTCACCATTTGTTTTTCACTATTCATTGTTTCAGGGGGAGCACAGATAAGACATTTAGTTGTTCCTTAAATTGCAAATACCCAAACCCCTCCTTTCGAGTGCAGGCATTGTACTTCCCACTTCCACGGCTGATCCGGCTAACCATTTTTCCTGAACCCCTTCACAAAATATTACCTTGCTCACACTCCAGAACAACTATGTAGTGTATCTTGTATAAACTGTACTAAGTAACTAAAGAAACTTCATATTAGCATGATCCTTATGTTCACTCTGTACTATACTTGTGAAATCATAATGACACATTTGCAAATTTACCGAATGGAAGGTTCAAACTTGTGGCAGGCTAGTCCTAAAACTAGCAGGCTAGTCCTAAAACTAGCAGGCTAGTCCTAAAACTAGCAGGCTGGAGTTTACCTGGAGTTTACCTGGAGAGAGTTTCGGGGGTCAACGCCCCTGTGGCCCAGTCTGTGACCAGGCCTCCTGGTGGATCAGCCCCTGATCAACCAGGCTGTTGCTGCTGGCTGCATGCAAACCAACGTACGAGCCACAGCCCGGCTGATCAGGAACTGACTTTAGGTGCTTGTCCAGTGCCAGCTTGAAGACTGCCAGGGGTCTGTTGGTAATCCCCCTTATGTGTGCTGGGAGGCAGTTGAACAGTCTCGGGCCCCTGACACTTATTGTATGGTCTCTTAACGTGCTAGTGACACCCCTGCTTTTCATTGGGGGGATGGTGCATCACTAGTCCTAAAACTAGCAGGCTAGTCCTAAAACTAGCAGGTTAGTCCTAAAACTAGCAGGCTAGTCCTAAAACTAGCAGGTCAGTCCTAAAACTAACAGGCTGGCCCATTATCCATTGTACCACACTGGTCTAACAATATTCACCCAGCTAAGTGTATTGCTATTCATTGAGTCAGTTGGTGACTGTTACTGTCATTTACCAGTCTAGTATATAATTGGTACCATCTTATTGAAGTACGCATTAGCATGAATGGCAGTATGGTATCAGAACTTGTAAATTCTTACCCCAGTTCAATTCCTGGAATGCATGACACTGCAACTGTTTACTGCGGTATTTAAGTTACATTGACAACATTTAGGGTAGAGAGATATTGTGCCTGGAGAATGGGATGGGAGGAATTCAAGTTTGTTTCAAGGAAGTGGAGGATATGTCCAATTCCTTGTATCAAGAGCTCTTGCCTGGTACCAAGATACCATCTACAAGGAGCCAAGGGAGATTATTATACGTATTCATGGTGGAAGCACTAACCCTGCAAAGGTCTTACAACACCAGGAAAGGGAGAGTAGTTTCAGTTCTCTGGATCAAGAGCCCTTCACTGACATCAAGATACCTTGAAGGATCCAAGGAAAATAGCAGCTCTAAATCCTTGAATTAAATCTTTCACTGGCATTAAAGTGCCCCTTCCTCTTAAAGGAGCCAAGAAAAAGGATAGCTCTAAATCCTTGATTCAAGATCCCTTCATTAGCATCAAGGTACCTTTCCCCTATTATTATTACATCTGTGGGGAAGCACTAAACCCAAAGGGGTAATGCAGTGCCTGGGGGGACTGGAAGGCATTCAAGCCCAGTGCAAGGAATTGGGATACTTCCCAGATTGGAGCCTTCCCAAATACAGAGTTAGTTAGTTTAATATGTTTATTATACACCCCATACCCATCCTGTGGGCAGTATTATTATTATTATAATAAAAAAGAAGCGCTAAGCCACAAGGGCTATACAGCCCTGTGGGCAGTAGTCAGAAGATTACAGAGGTACATAATGAGTCCAGAGCAAGTTACTAAGGTAATTAACTCCAGGTAGATCTGGTCACAATCGTGACAAGTTAGGAAGGCAGAGAAGGTGGAAACTGAGGAGTTTGAGGTAATTAAATCAATCAGATCAAATCAAATCAAAGTTTATTCTCTATAAGGATTACAATGCGGGGTTTACAGATTTTGGTTATTGTGTAGTTTACATGTAGTAAAATACTAATTACAGAGGGGGCCTATAGGCCTTTAGCCTAGAGTCCATGTGTTCAATTCATCAATTTTGATGGATTGAATACAGAAATTATGCGTATTCGTGGTATATTCTCTTGTAAGATGTAGGATGAAGGAAGACATGATAAGTTAAAGATACAATGATGAGCATAAATAAGAGATATAAACATTGTTTTGAGAGTGTCCGCCGAAGAATAAAGTTAGGTTCAGAAAGGATGTAGGAAAGTAATGGTTTGGAAATAAAGTGATGAGTGGATGGGTAGCTTCAAATATGAGCTGGATAAAGACATGAGTGACAGGAGCTGGATTTGAGAGAGACTTGCATAACATGAGTTATATAGGTAGCCTTGGCAATGGGTTGGACAAATATTTTGTTAAGAGAGCTTGGGGTTTGAGGAAGACCTGCCTAGTATGGGTCGGTAGGCCTAGTGCAATGATCTTCCAATCTCATTTTCATATTAACCAAGAGAAGACAATGGTATATATAGGAATATAAACACATTAAGTGCAGTGGCAAAGAACATTTGTGTACAATTCAAGACATTTATTACAGAAAACGTTTCTCCACGAGTAGTTTCATCAGTATTGATAAAGTCACTCGTAGAGAAACGTTTCATTTAATAAATGTCCTGAACTGTACACAAGTGTCATTTTCCACAGTTTGTGGGTATTACCAGACCATTTACAATATTAAGAACAGTTATGAAACATTCACAACGAATATTTATCACAGATATGACTCAGGACTTAAATGGAAATGTCACTGACTTTTTTGGGGGTTATTCTGCTAGGTAATTTATACACGTTACTATGTATGAAAATTGTATTTATGTGTACCTGTACCTAAATCAGCCTACTTAATCTGATTTGCTACAATAGCGCTAAACTCGCAGGGGTTACAAAGCGCCTTGGGACATGCGAGGCAATTTGATTCATCCAAGGAAGAGTAGCTCTAATTCTCTGGATGAAGAGCACTTCACCAGCGTCAAGTCCCTGCCCTTATGTGCCAGATGTAGTGGGTTAAATAACCTGAAAAAAAATTAATGATGAAATTATTTCATAGAAATGTGGACCCCGTGCCTCGTCTCCTTCACATCCACCATATTACTTCTAATTTATACTTTATCACCCACAGATTACCTACAAATGTCGATATTTAATTAAAATAAAATTAGTTTAATTTATTTTTCAATAATAAATGAGTGTGTTAGGTATAAGTTAATATTAGTGATGGTGTTGTGGTGGATGTCAAGGAGCAAGTCTGAGATATTGTTGACGCCGCCGCCATCTTGTGTTTCCTCCTTTATTTCTGGCTGTGTTGGGTTATGTAGCAGCCTTTAACACTCTACTATAACAACCAGGTACTCGTCTGTCTCTTGTGTACTGCCATATATAATATTCAAAGAGTTCTAGGAGAGGAAACGAGAGTCTTAGGTGATGGAAGCTGCGGCGCCTGATGCTGTCTACGTGGCCCACTTTCATCATTATATTTATATTTATCAATTTTGTTCCCCTCAGGGAAGGTTCCTTGGTGTTGGTGAGGGGCTCTTGATTTTGGGAATTGGATCTGTGCTCCAGTTCCCCGAATTAAGCCTGAATGCCTTCCACATCCCCCCCCCCAGGCGCTGTATAATCCTACGGGTTTAGCGCTTCCCCTTGATTATAATAATAATATCAATTTTGTTTTCAGAAAAGTAATTCCCATAAACTCCTTTTTGCATTGTTTATGAGTATATTATTTGTTTTGCAGTGTTCTTGTAGATGAGCAATGTTGCAGTGGAACTTAGGAGGAAATTTTAGTTATAGCTTTTAATGTCTCAGAAAATTAGGCTTTTTGAGACGAATAAAATAATACAAAATACTAAATGAGGAAAATTGCCACAAAAACGTCAGGAGTAACATGTAAGAAGGAATGTAACATAGCTCTAGGGACCCTACTGGGAATGAGTCATTTTTTTTTCCTGGAGGGGGGGGGTATTCTAGGTAATTTATGCTGTATGATGATTGTGCTTATGTAACTCTGCCTAAATTTACTTTAAGCTTGATGAAAACAGACACATATTTATTGTAGACGTTTTGCCAATAAAGATACCCAGATGTTGCACGTGTGTCTCAGTTTTCATCATGTCGATATTGTATACCATTCTTGAAGCTTCATTCAGGTCCACTGAGGCCCAATGACCCATGGGCCAGTAGGCCCATGGGTCCTTGGGGCTAGGTTTTGGCCAAGATAGATTAGTTAGGCACCCCTTCTCTTGCATTATTTTCCGGTAACATTACAAAATAGGGAGGATAGGTCGAGATTTTTTTCTATTATTATCATTGCGATCAGGGTTGGGTGAAAGCGTTAGTATTGGTGGGTATTGGTTATTTATGGTGCTACTGGTATTGGCTGGTATTTGCTAATTTTGATGGTGTTAGTAACGGTAACTCATTTTGTATAATCCTCTTCCTGGTTTTGATCATTATAATATGCAATAGAATAGCTTCTTTATTTACCTTCCAGATGTCGAATACACCACATGTGTACTTTTCAAAAGTGTCAGAAACTTGGTGTGACTGGCAGTACTACTTTGTCCTAAATACCTGAATAAGAACATTCACTGATGAATTGTGACCTTTTGTTTTGGTTTACTTGGTTTGTTTTACTCCTGTCTATATGCTCCTGTGTTAAAAAGTTTGACTTTGATGGCACTTTTTCTGTATAAATATACCATATTAGGGCCAAGGCTTTTGGATTGGCAACCTGGTGCATACCCAATACAGTAGGACCCCTGTATCTGTGGGTCTGGTATCCACGGTTTCAGTTAACTGTGGTTTACCATGGCCTGAAAATAACACTTAATTTTGCTTAATAATGACCTCAAAAATGCAAAAGTAGTGATGGTGGAAGTGCTTCCCATCAGTGAATAAGTGATAATTCTCCACTTATTGCATGTAATTTATCAATGTATAGGACTTATACATGGGGTTTGCTACTATCTGCGGTTTCGGTATTCACAGCAGGTCCTTGGAAAGTATCCCCCAAGGATACGGGGGTCCTACTGTGTTCTCAGAATTGAAGGGAAGCAGATTCACACTCTAATAGCCGACATTAGCATAGTGCAGACATTGAAATGCCTTGAAAATGAAATATTTGCTAGATGCATATTTTAATACCTCAGAATTATTATTGTTAATGCAGTTTTTGCATTGTACTTTTAATAACACACCTTGATTTATTACAGGATGTCTGTACACTACAAATTCAAGTCTGCAGTGGAGTATGATACGCTCCCTGTGGATGGTGTACACATTAGTCTTGAGGACCTAAAAGAGGCCATCATACAGCAGAAGAGACTTGGACGTGGACAGCCCTATGACTTGCAGATAACTAATGCGGAAACTAAAGAAGGTGAGTGGGTTGTGCCTCTTTATTTATAGTAGTCTTTACAATGTAGCAGCACATTTTTTTTTCTGCATTACCATTTAATATTTGACCCCCTTGTAGGCTTTGACAGAACATTTTATACAAACCTTGTAGTCTTTATTTAGCTTTTTTCCACGTCTTCATAGTCCATGCTATAAAAAGTAAATATCAGTCCAGTAAGTAGGTAGTAAGTTGGTAAAGAGCAATTTTCTAGGGAGGTACAGAACCATTTTGAAATGTGTATAATTACCTATTTATTGACGCAGGAACAGAGCTGGTTTTTTTTTTTTTTTTGTATTTGATAGAATGGAAGACATGCTCCTGAAATATTGATGATTTTGGTTGGTTTCAGGACTGGAAGTAACTTGAAATTGGGCTCAAAAGTAGTGGAGATATTAAATATTTGCAGATTTTTTCTGAGGGGTAAGGCATCCCCCCCACCCCACCTGCAGTCTGTTTTATGGGTTTTTAAGAAGTCTTGATTCAAGTATTGGGATGCCATAAGCTGTGACCAATCATTCCTGGTTAATTTTATTATCTGGGAAATAGAGTAAATCTTCTATATTTGTGTGATTATTAATTAAAAATGGAAGGCAAATGAAATGTAGAAGTAGTCTAGGAATGTGATTAATGAACAGAGGAAATGTTTTAGTGACTGGAATGTGTATATTGTTTATTTTGTACTCTATTTTTAACACTTCCATTGTCCACACCCTTGATCTGAGAATTGCTCTCACTGTCCAAGAATTATGATGGAAATGTGACGAAATTATGCTTTCATGAATTTTGCTGTGTCAGCGATGTTTACGCATTTGCGATTTTGCCTACTTTGAACCGTATTTTAGGCCAATTACATCTTCCAGTCCACCAAATTCTTAGCTATTTTGCTAGTTTGTCTTCCATTTTATCGATTGAGCACAAAAAAAAACCACTCGATTGATGATTTCAACTACCCACTCAAGTGATAAGAAATTGGTAATTTGGCCAGTTTCACACAAATTTAAAAATATTTGTATTTTGAAATAAGGTCCAGAATAAACAATGCAGGTATTCTTGGCAATAAAATAACATTTCCTCCGTTCATTAGTTACTTTCCTAGGCTTTACACACAAATTCCATTTTGAATTTTTATTCACACAAAAAAACAGAAGGCTTACTGTTATGCAATATCGTAATAATTGTGTAAATAACATCAGGGCATTTGTGAATGCATATTAGACCTACCAGTTGGACATGTATTGGACAAGTGACATGATTTGTTTACTCTCCACTACCTTGAGCTCAATTTCACAGTATTTTCAGTCCTGAAACCAATCAAAATCATCTCTGTTTCTGTAAATATCTTCCGTTCTGTCACATGAGACCAAGAAACTGAGAAGAGTACTCCAATAAAAACCATACAAAAATACATGAAAAAGTTGCTGTTTTAAACCAAAAACACAGTTGCAGGTTTTTCTTGTGTACTGGGTGCTGCAGGATTTTGTGGTGCACTTACCACATAGACCCATTCTCTCGTGTAGGCCCAGATTTACCGCTCACAGCTTATCTGAGTGAGCTGAGCTTGTAGTATAGTAGTACTGCAGCATGGACAGTGATCTCAAACTCTTAGTACTATGGTACAGACGACAAAGTGGTTAGGCATTTTTAATTTTGTGTAAATGTGGTAGTTGTAATGGTTGAATGGGTGGTTCCTTGTGCTCATTAGATAGCATGGAAAGGATACTACTGAAAGAGGTAAGAATGACTTAAAAATAGGACTAAAAGTTGGCAAAATCACCATAGTGAAAGTGTTAATATTGATTTGGAAGTATTTACTAGAATAGAGGTATTTGGCAGTAAGGGAAAGCCATTGACCGAGAAAAAACATTTGAGAGTTGAATGTGTTTGCTAGTAGCCGTGTAAAAATGGATAATTGCAGTCTGCAAATAAATAAGAAAGCCCACGAATTTGTGGTAAGGACTATAGTAATGTAAATTCCTTCACATTCTGGCAGCTCTGACTTGCTAAAATTAAATATCATTTATTACCAGTCATGCATTTATAAATTATTGAAAATTCTGTTCTTTCAGTACATTGTGTTTGAGAGTTTGGCTCATTTTATGTTTCAGAGGTCATTGTCTCATTAAATATTGCTCTAATCTGTTTCTTATTCACAAGAAAGAAGGTCTACGAAGAAAAGGGATTTTTGAACAGTTTTTGGGAAAGCCGTTGTGCTCGTTTTAACCCTTAAATTGTTCAAGCAGATCTACCTTCACATGCATAGCGCTCCAAAAGTAGATCAAAGTTTTTTTTACACATTTTCAAATGTAAAAAAAAAAAAAAAAAATCTACTTTTTTTACATACTTTCAAATGTTGAAATAACATAGATCTACGTTTGGGCAGTTTAAGGGTTAAATAAACCCTTGTACAAAGTTAATTTTCATTTTAGAGGTTGTGTAAAGGCAGAGCAATGAATAAGCCCTGTGGAATTTTTTCCTTGTCTTACTTTCCTACTCCATTTTTTGCTTGCACCCTGTTTCCTACCTTGCCTCTTGCACCCTCTGCCCCTTCCCTCTTTCTTTCCATCTTGTTCTCCATGTTAATGTTTTGTTACACATATCTACTGCTTTGTTTGCATAATTATGATGTAAAAATAAAAAGCGGTATTTAATAGTAAAACTTCATTTTCAGTTTACACTGATGACAAGACGCTGATTTCAAAGAATTCTTCATTGATTGTTGCAAGAGTTCCCATCGATCCTTTACAGATGAAGAGGCCATGGTAAGTTTATTACAAAAATCTGCATCTGTAGTCTAAATGTGGAAGATGCTAAACTTTTAATTCTCTTAAGCTGGTTATTCAAACTTGGATGGCAAATAGAGAATTGAAACTAAGTGAACTTGGGCAAGACAGATTTTGATTTTCAAGGAACCTCATAGGAATACAAATTGGAGATTTTGGTGCCACTTGTGGATGATACTGTCAGTTTGCAGCCTATGAGCTCAGTGAGGGATCTTGATTTTTAAAATTGTTTGTGGGTTTGCCTAACTACATACTTGCTAAAAAGACCTCAGTCTGTACTGAATAGTGTTGTTAGACTGGTATTTTTGCTCTCAACTATGGCTCCCACTAGTCCCCATTTGTATGAGTTGCACTGGATCTAAATCAAGGCAAAAATTGGTTTTAGACTTGTTTATTAATAAGATTTAAGGGTGCTAAGTTTAGTGATCTCGAGTATCTTGCTGATATACTCGTACTTTTACCTTGGGATTGGGAATATTTTTGCCAATCACTGCAAACCCATTTAAACCAATTTAACCTCGTGCTGCTAGGAAAAAAAAATTCGTAGAAAGCACCTTTTGTATAGCTTTTAGATTGTTCAACAGGTTGTCATTGTCTGTAATCAAGTCAGGAATCTGTTCGTATTTTGAAGTCTCAGCTGAAAGAACATCTTTCTTAGAGCTTGTGATCCTGGTGATCATACTGTCATTCTTGAATATAAACTTTTGTACAGTGGACCCCTGGTTTACGATCAGCTCCCAATGCGACCAATTATGTAAGTGTATTTATGTAAGTGCGTTTGTATGTGTATGTTTGGGGGTCTGAAATGGACTAATCTAATTCACAATATTCCTTATGGGAACAAATTCGGTCAGTACTGGCACCTGAACATACTTCTGGAATGAAAAAATATCGTAAACCGGGGTCCACTGTATTTCTTTATCAATGTTGTGCGCATATGGCGTGTTGTGCGAGTATTCCTGAATTCCATGAAAACAGGAGCTCTTTAGTAACAATATCCCAAGGTATTATTATTATTAATTATTTTTATTCTGTTTTATTATTATATATATTTTTTTAACAATGGCTGTTTCCTACCGAGGATGGGTGACCTGAAAAAAGTGTCAGTCATTCACTTTCACTGTCTTGCCAGAGGCGTACGGATACAACAGTTTAGATGTCCCTTTGGACAGCAAATATCCCAAACCCTCTTTTTTTTTTAGTGCAGGCACTGTACTCCCACTTTCCAGGATTAATGTCTAGCTAACTGGTTACCCTGAATCCCTTCACAAAATATTACCCTGCTCACACTCCAACAGCTCTTCGGGTCCCAGAAATCATTTGTCTCCACTCCTATTTAAAATGCTTACACATGCCTGCTGTATGTCCAAGCCCCTTGTACACAAAACCTCCTTTACCCCCCTCCCTGCATCCTTTCCTAGGATGACCCCAACCCTGCCTTCCCTCCACTACAGATTTATACACCTCTCAAGTCATCCTGTTTTGCTCCATCCTCTCTAAATGACCAAACCACTTCAACCCCACCTTTTGTATATAATATTTCATATTGAAGGGAGAGGGTCAAGGTTGTTTTATGTGCAAGGGGCATGGCCATCCAGCAGGCATGTGTGAGTGTGTTAGATGGGAGTTAATGGAGGCAAATATTTTTTTGTGACCTGATAAGCTGTTTGAGTATGAGCAAGGTAACATTATGTGAAGGGATTCAGAGAAACTGGTTGTTTGGACTTGAATCCTGGAGGTGGGAAGTACAGTGTCTGAACTCCGTAGGCGGGGAGGGGCTTATAAATAATAGTGAAAATGTACTAAAGTATTGGCATTGAAGGTGTAGGTTGGCTTTAATGGTATTGTATTGGCCTAAAATTGTGTATCAGCGTCGGCCAATTTCGATGGCATCAGTACGAGTCCAAAATTGAATATCAGTATTGGCAAAAATTTTGGTAAGTTCCCATTGCTAGTGACTGGGCTACTACATTGTTTACTCTTGTAGTATAGTGTTTCAGTTTTGTTCAATTTTTTGTTTTTTTATTAACACATCGGCTGTTTCCCACCAAGGCAGGGTGGCCTGAAGAAGAAAAACTCTCATTATCATTCACTCCATTACTGTCTTGCTAGAGGCATGCTTACACTACAGTTATAAAACTGCAGCATTAACATCCCTCCTTCAGAGTGCCGGCACTGTACTTCCCATCTCTAGGAATCAAGTCCGGCTTGCCGGTTTCCCCGAATGTTGCCTTGCTTACACTCCAACAGCACGTCAAGTCCTAAAAACCATTTGTCTCCATGTACTCCTATTTAACACGCTCATGCACCCTTGCTGGAAGTCCAAGCTCCGTACACACAAAACCTCTTTTACCACTCCCTCCAACCTTTCCTACGCTGACCCCTACCCTGCCTTCCCTCCACTACAGATTTATACACTCGAAGTCATTCTATTCTGTTCCATCCTCTCTGTGTGTCCAGACCATCTCAATAACCCTTCCTCAGCCCTCTGGATAATAGTTTTGGTAATTCCACATCTCCTAATCTCCAAACTATGGATTCTCTGCATTATATTCACACCACACATTGCCCTCAGACATGACATCTCCAATGCCTCCAGCCTTCTCCTTGTTGCAACATTCACAACCCATCCTCGCACCCATACATGAGCAGTGGTATAACTATACTCTCGTACACTCCCTTCTCTGCTTTCATGGATAAAGTTCTTTTGTCTCTACAAACTCCTTAGTGCACCACTTGGTGCACCTTTTTGCCCTCGTCAGATCTATGATTTACCTAATCTTTCATAGACCCATCCTCTGACACTTCCACTCCCAAATATCTGAATACATTCACCTCCTCCATACTCTCCCTCAAATTTGATATCCAATCTTCCATTACCTAATTTTTTTGCTATCCTCATCACCTTACTCTTTCCTATATTTAATTTCCTTCTTTTACATACCCTTGCAAACTTATCAACCAACCTCTGCAACTTCTCTTCAGAATCTCCCAAAAGCACAGTGTAATCAGCAGAGAGCAACTGTGACAACTCCCATTATGTGTTATTCTTGATCTTTTAACCTCCCACCTCTTGCCAACACCTGAGCATTCACTTCTCTTACAACTCCATCTATAAAGATGTTAAACAACCATGGTGGCATAACACATCCCTGTCTAAGGCCTACTTTTACTAGGAAATAATCTCCCTCTCGCCTACATACTCTAACCTGAGCCTCGCTATCCTCGTGAAGACTCTTCACAGCTTTCAATAACCTACCTCCTATTGCATACATTTGCAACATCTGCCACATTGTGCCCCTATCCACCATATCATACATTTTTCCAAATCCATAAATGCCACAAAAACCTCTTTACCCTTACCTAAATACATTTCACCTATATGTTTCACTGCCAACACTTGGTCTACACACCCCCTACCTTTCCTAAAGCCTCCTTGGTCATCTGCTATCCTGCTTTCTGTCTTACTCTTAATTCTTTCGATAATAACTCTACCATACACTTTACCAGGTATATTCAACAGAGTTTTGTTAATATTGTTTATATTTTGTTATTGCAGGGAGAACAAGGAATCAACGGCACTACTCCTATCCAACCCGTCAAACCTGATGAACGTATGTAATAGTGGATCATCTGTGCAACTTTCTTTACCTCCTGCCGGGTAACACCTATTTGTCTAGTTTATAAAGTGGATGATTCGCCTGAAGAGGGGGATTTCAGCCAATGGACCTTAATGGGGTTTGGCTGGTCCTACCTTTATCACTATAATATTGCTGTTTGCTGGTCCTGCATTTTCAGCTACACATGTGTAGGATGGTATGAAACTGTCCTCATATAATATATATAATATATTTAAAAATTCTTTTATATATATATAGTAACAATCCATTCATTATGTAGTTTTGATTTACTTGGGATTGCTAGTGTCATTTGATTTTCCTTGCATACTTGTAGCACTATACCACTATAATTTTCCACAGTGGAGATTTAGTAAGTGGCTGTCCATTGTGCAGAATTATGGAGGTTCTTCTATTTGCAACTTTATGAACTTTTTACACTATCATATAGTCCTTACAGTCAGTGATTGACAGATATTATTAGGAAGTTTTACACTTGTGTGGAATATTTAATTAATATACTGTCTTTTTTATCAATACATTCTTGTATGCTTTGTATGATATAGCCAATAAAATTTTAATCTGAGGTGTGTGCTATTTGGACAAACATTGACATAATTGTTTTGTTGCTGAATTGCAGCAGAGAACCAGTTAAGAGTTTTAAATCAACATAAATTAGAGTACAGTATCTGAGGAGTCATTTACATCCCACAATACTTCACTGTTGGCATTTAAAAAAAATGGTAGTTCAGATTTTTTTTTTTTCAAAGGTGCAGTTCACATTTTTATAGATTATGACTAGGCTTTTTTTTTTTCTATTAATTTCTAAATTTGTACATATGTTTTACTGTAATAGACATTGTAGCATTTGTACTGTAGTTGGCCATTGAAAAAAAATGTGAGGGATTTTTATCTCATAGATCATATCTACAAAAGTGCAACTTTGGCAGTATATCATTATCTATGGCAGTGTCTATTGCAGTAATTTCATAGTTTAAAAAAAAGTGGCAGCAATAAAATAATTAGGGGTACCAGGAAGTATACTTTAAGTCTTTTATAGGAACCCAAATTTAAGCTTTTTAACTCTGTATTCATGCTTCTCCATTTTTTTTTTTCTGGGGTGTTCATTGGCGTCTTGATTGTTGACTTTTACTGGGCAGAAAACGGTTAAATATCGTACAGTTTTCTGGATATTTAAATTATATTACCTTTGTGTACCCTTTCATTCATATCTTTTAAGTCTGTTTGAACATTTTCTGTAGATTACTTTTGATATGTCTGTTAAGAGACTTAGTAAAAGTTCTACAAATTAGAATTCTGGAAATTATAATTAATTTGATTATGTATTAAAATTCTAGATATGTCTATAGACATTGCATGTGATGTGCATCTTCCATGACTGTGAATAAACATAGGAAATCACTGTTAAAAATGCACACTTTCAGTTAGATATTAAAGTGCTCGAGGCTTTCTCAGTACACTTAGTTGTCTTTTGGAGCATTTCGTGTTAATCAATACACGCCAGTGCACTGTAGTTATTTGTCTTTGTTCATCCCCTTAATATTTTTATATAAAAAGCAATATCAATGTTTTTGAAAATGAAAGTAATTGTTTTTTCCATCTGGTATGTCTAATAGGAATATTTGAGGGGTGGGCTTTTATATTTGGATGAATTTTGTTGAGTAATTTCATAGAAATATTCTTTTTGGGGAAGGAGAGTATGGTACTATTAATAAAATTTAAGGGACTGCATTAATTTGCTTGCAAACTTCAATTAAAAATTGTTTATACAGTTTAAGGTATGAAAGATGTACAGTGCATAACTCATCTCTGAAGGCAGTGTGTGATGTTCAATGTGCATAATAACAAATTTAGTTTTTAATATTTTAAGGTTTTGGAAATATTAAATTGGATTTTAATTGTTTAAATGCCTAGTGCAAGAAATGGATTTGTTTCCATTTCTCTTAAGAGAAAGTTTTACACTAAATAAAATTTTGGAAGAGACCTAAATTTCAATTTACTTGTTAAAAACTGCAAAATAATTTTAAACCAGTGAAAGTAGTGCCTGCATTTGTTAACTATATCAAAATGTTCTGTTCTCCTAGGAACCCATTCTAGCTCTTTGAATGGGGTGTACTAGTCATATATACACTACTATAATTTTTCTTGGGTGTGTGCATGCTCACCTAATATCACTTCCAACATAGAATTAATGATGTAGTACACATGTTGAACACACTGAATGCTAATCTGGTGGGAAAAAAATGAACATCTACCATATGTCATTTGTTTTGATGTTAATGTTCTGTGAGGTCTTAAAAAAAGAAGGGGGGGGGAGATTGTGAAAGTTAAATGCAAGAAATCAAGTTCAGCTGTGGGTATCCTTCTATACTATGATCACAAGCCAAAAGAGGAGCAGTTGCTTATGTTTGCAGTAATAGAATTAAGAGCAACCTGAATTATTCAAAAGATGTACAAAAAATAAAAGATCTTTTGGCTCTTACGGTGAAGATTCCAGTATAACTGATGCTACCAAACTTGTGTTTCTAAGGTGAGAGTCATTTTCAGGTTGGGAATTACCTTAATGAGGTAGCTAAGGTATTCACATGAAACTAGTACCTTCTATATGAAGATGGCTAATGAATGATCCTGGAGTGCATTTTTAGCAGTCAACTTCATTTTTATCAAATGTTTTGAAGGCTGTTGGGCTACCTTCTGAGCAGCAGCAGTGTCAGGATGTGTGGTGATGGCATAACTACTATGGACATTCCTGACGAAGACTTAAAGGAAGCAAATGTTTTGTTCTGAACATGCCAAGTTTATAAACCCTAGGGAAAGGTCCCATTGATCGCATAAGACGAGACTGCTTTACCCACAAGCTACGATATCTGTTGATTATGCAAAATAGAAAGGAGGCAGTTGCAAATATTGGGAAAATTTTATTACTGATGATTAAGAGCTATTTTCACTTGGGGAGTTTCAGTGGTCCCTGGCCTACATATTTCATGAAGTTAATTGTATCATTTGTCATTATAAGAACTTGATGTAGCTAATGTGATCATGCTCAGGATCTGTACACGTGTATGTGCCAAAACTGATTGTTGTCCTATCTCCGTGCAAGCTTAAGTTTTTCAATTTAAGCAGTTTTTCGTTTTTAATCGTTATACTAAAACTTTATATGCGGATCACTACAAGGCTTGCTAGATAACATATGAGCTCTACCTGACATTGTAAAATTTACTTTTTGTGAGCAAAAGAACAAATTTGTCTTTCTAATGTACTCTCTCACTCAGGCTTAATCATGCATGTGCATACTGCATTACCAGTATTAAATTGCACACAAATATAATACAGATTGGTAGAAATTTGGTGCATGACCTTTGCTGGAATAAATTAATGTTGCCCACAAGGAATTTATAAACTTGTTAGCTTGACCAATGGTAGAGCATGAGGCAGACAGGGTGGGTGGGGGGAGGGGATTAGTGTTTGTGTAAGTTTTTTCAACATGCTGGCTATCTTCCACCGGGGCAGGGTGGCCCAAATAAGAAACACACTTTCACTATCATTCAACACTCACCATTATTCACATATAATCACTGTCTTTGCAGAGGCACTCAGATATGACAGTTAAGGTGTCACTCCAAACAGCAAATATCCCAACCCCCTCCTTTAAAATGGAGGCATTGTACTACTTCCCACCTTCAGTACTCAGATGTTAGTGTTAGAGATAATGGAGACGAGTTTTTTTAATGGATGTGCTGTTAGAGGGTAATCAAGGCAATTTTAATGAAGGAATTCAGGGAAACTGGTTAGCTGGACTCAAGAGTCCTGGAGGTAGAAAGGGAAAGTGCCTGCACTCTGAAGGAGGGGTTTAAATGTTACAGGCAGACGATAATTTGAATTGTAACATCAGCACACTTCTGAATTAATGATGGAGAATTAAGTTTCTTTGGGTCACCCTACCTTGGCATTAACTGGCCATTATAAAAAGATTAATATTTACTAAAAATTAATAAGGTATATAGGTTTGGGATATTTGCTGCTGTTTAGAGTGATATCTAAACAGTCATATCCGTACCTGTCTGGCAAAACAGTAATAGTATCAATTGTGGTGAAAGTTTCTTTATCGGGTCATCCTGCCTCGGTGGGAGACAACCAGTGTGTGAAAAAAAAAAACCAGGTTATGCAGAGTATTTCAGACAAGTTAAAAATAAAACAATTGGACTAGTAAAGCATAATTAATTTTTTTTGTACAGAATGTTTATAAAGACATTAAGGATATGAAGTTAAACTAATCTTAATGAATATAACACACAAATATTGATGAAAGTAGATTAAAAGTGGAGGAAGGTACACAATTATTTTGTACATTGAATTGGTGAACTTGTAGGTAAAAAAAAAATTGGTTTGTTATTGTTGGTGCAGTTACCATATATGCACATAGTAGCCCTCTGGTGTGTATTTTAAATGAGCCGGCATTTTGGTTCCACCTGGTTGCAAATGTGTTGAATTTTCCCTCTCCATTGAATGTGATTCTCTGTATTTACATACACTTTTGAATTATATTCCTAAGAGGAAGAATTTAGTTTGAAATTGAAGTGAAATTTCAGTGACTTTATGAGCATATGAATTAAAGTATACTACAGTGAGCAGCCATCACCTCAGTCACCACAGCCATCATTTTAGCTACTGCAGCTGGCATTTCAGCAACCACATCTAATGCTTTAGTCAGGACATGAAGGATACCTGGAGGATGTTCCCAGGGTTTAATGGCTACCATGGCCTAGTCCCAGATCAGACCTGGAGGATCAAGATCTGATCAACCAGGCTGTTTCTACGGACCAGTCCCAGTCCAGTGTACAAGCCACAACCTGGCTGGTTAGGTGCTGAGTTGAGGAACTTCATCCCATTTCCTCTTGAAGACTGCCAGGGGGTTGTTGGTAATTCCCCTTATGCACAGAGGGAAGGCATTCAAGAGTTGAGGACCTCTAACACTC